GCGCGTGAGGAGCAGCACCCGCACTTGCCTGCCTGGATGCCAGCTGGCAGCCGTGCAACGGCATGCGCAGTGCCTGTGCCCTGTGCCATCAGGCCGACCAAGCAGCCAACCTCCCACCATCCTGCCGCGCCCCCCTCCCCTCTATCCTCCCCCTCAGGCCGTGGAGCTGGGCCTGGATCACGCCAAGCGCGCTTCGCTGCGCGCCCGCCTGCAGGCCGCACGCCTCACCTGCCCCCTGTTTGACACCGCGGGCTGGGTGCGCGACTTTGAGCGCACGCTGCTGTGCATGTGGGCCATCCACTGCGAGGGCGGCGGCCCACGGGACTTTGAGGTGGAGCCGCTAGCTGAGGGCTGATGCCCTGCGAGTGGGCAGGCCCACGCTCTCCTTCCTCTCTCGGGGCAACCTCCACCGCCAGAACACACCGTAGAAGAAACAGGAATAAAGAAAACTGCCACCAAACCCTCACGGCACTCACCTTCCAGGCTGCCAACAGCCTGCCCGCCACAACCATTTTGCTGGCGCTCCAACGAACCCTTCATTGTTGCCAACCCCTGCTCGTTCACGTCTGCTCCTTGCTCCGTTCAGCGTCCCCAGCACTTACTTGTCCTGCCCGCCTGCTAGTTGGTGTCGGCAAGCGGGCCCAATTTTTGCCACGCATGTGCGTGTGTGTGTGCACCTGTAGACCCCCTTTTGTGCACTGCCATCTCCATCTCGCTCCCGCTGTTGCCGTCTCGTGGCTGCTTCCTTGCTGCTGCTTTGTCACAGGTGCTTTCATGTGTGCGCCTCGTCACAAAGGGTGCATGCTTCCAAGCTACCCTCCTGTTGTGCATTCATTCTGTCACTTTGTTGCGCATATCATTCGTTTTACAACACTCTTCTGCCTTTCCTGTGACCCCCCCTCTTGTTGTTCCTGCTGTGGTTTTTTTCACCCGCCGCGAACCCTGCGCGGGACTCCCCCTCTGTGTAACACCTTCCTTCGGCCTAAACCACAACACAATGTTGGGGCAACGGTTGGGGCCAGGAGAAACAGGGACAGTTTGACGGGGCTGAGGTCATGGAGGGGAGGCATGTGGAAAGCGGCCGCCGCCTCATGAGCGGCCATCTGGCGCCTCGGCTTCCTCTGCCTGCGTTTTCCCTCAGCATTCAGCAGCGTTCTCCAGTACCCTCCCTCAGACTTCCTAGCCTGCAGCAGCCCTCCAACCCTTGGCGCGACATGGGCCCCGAGGCGGGCGTCCCCCCGCAGCGCGGGGGAGAGCCCCAGGAGCAGGACCAGTTGCTCCAACGTGAGTACAGACGAAGGGCGAGTGCAGAGAGCAGCCAACAGGCGGGTTAGTGGCTGAACGTGTTGCTGCTTGCCACCCTGTGCCTGCAGAGCCCTCGGAGGCCCTCGATACGGCTGGAGCAGATGTAGAGACTCCAACAGAGGAGCACCCCTGCAGCAGCAGCAGCAGCGGAGGCACTAGGTGGGGCGGGTTCATGGCCTGGCTGAAAGGCCGGCGAGCCGCACAGCGGTTGCCCTCTGAGGACGAGGACCAAGGCGACGAGCTGCAGCAGCGGCAGCAGCAGCAGGTGGCCGTGGTGGTCGAGGCCGCGGCCGAGGCGGCGGAAGGCGCCGGCAACACCACCGCAGCGAGCAGCAGCGGCGAGCATCAGCATCAGCAGCCCGGCGCCAGCGGCAGCGGCGGGGGCGGCGAGATCGAGCCGCGCGGCTCGGGCAGCCCCAGGATAGCGCGCCTGCCGTCGCGGGGGCCCCCCACCTGCTTGATTTGCCTGGAGGAGTTCACGCAGGTGCGCAGCCCGCCGTGCTGGCTGCCAGCCTTCCTCCTGCCCGGCTGCAGTTCCGGTGCTCATGCCAGCACCTTGCGCCGCCAAAATGCCTCATGTGCTCACCCACGCCCGCACCTCAACCTGCCCGGCCGCCTCCCCGCAGGAGGAGTTCATCAACGGCGCCGCGCTGCGCCTGGAGTGCAACTGCCGCGGCGACCTGGCGCTGCGCCACCGCGAGTGCATCATGAAGTGGGTGCAGGTCAAGGGCAGCAACGTTTGCGAGCTGTGCAAGGCGGAGATCCGCAACATCCCGGCGCCGCCGCCGCGCCCCACCGACGCCGACCTGCCCGCCCTGGACGAGGCTTACTTCAACGGTGAGGGCGGCTGGGAGCGGCGGGAGGGGGCGCAGGGCACCGCCGCCCGTGGCCGGTCACCGAGTGGGGGCTTCTGCTGCTTGTTGGGCGGCAGCCACGACGCCCGCCCCGTCCCTTCTTCCACTCACCCCAAGCCATCCCCGGCTCGCCACCCCCTGCCCCCGCGCAGACCCCAGCCACATCCACGACTTCATGCCCTCCTCCCAGGACCTCGTCTTCGACTGCATCCGCGTCACATGGGTGGCCATGATTGTGTCCATGTGAGCACGCACGGCGGCTGGGGGGTGGGGCCACTGTGTCGCATTGCATTGCATGCCGGTGCTGGCGCTGCTGCTGCCTGCCTGTCTGCCTGCCTGTTGAAGTGTGTACTCACTGCCGCCCCACCCCCTTTTGCTGTGCAGCCTGTTCTTCGAAATGTCGCTGGGCGCGGCGCTGTGGACGGGGCTGCTTGCCGGTTGCGCCTACAGCATCATGGTGCGCTGCGCTTGGCTGCACGCGCCAGCTGGGCTTGCCTGCCAGCCGTGCCAGTGACAGTGCCGGGTGCACCTCCTGCTGCTCATTGCGCATTGGCCTCCCTCCCTGGTGTTGCAGGTACGGTTGATGTACAGGCAGCACTTTTACGCCATGCGCCGCCTGGCGGAGCAGCAGGCCGCGGTGCGGCGAGAGCAGGAGGGCGGCAGCCCCACAGCAGCCGCGCCGCACCCCGTGGTGGTGGCGGTGTGATGACTGCAACAAGTAGCTTGTCTGGCGTTGCTTGCCTGCCTCCAGCATTATTGATACTCTCTGTACTGCACCTGTCGGAGACCCTTGTCCGCCGCCTGTACCACCTGCTCCTCCCCAAAGCCGTTTTTGCCGCGGAAGCGCCTCCCTGCCTGTTCTTTCTTTGTATCCAGTTGCCGTACACTTCCCCTTGCCCAGCCCCCTCTTAGCATCCCCCCCTTCTCTCCCTCTGCACACTGCGTCTGTTGCGCAGACATGTTGCATACACGCCCAGCCCTGCAACCGCGGCTGTGCACCACCGTCAGCTCCAGGAGGGCTTGCGGGGCCTGATGCCCTCGCCGCGCTCAAACATGCTTCCCCTGACCCACTCGGGCGTCTTCACCACCTCGCCTCTAGCCACCACGTACTGCAGGGCCAGAGTGTCCGCCTGCAAGGCCGTGGGGGATGCGTGCCTGGACATGAGGGCCCTGTGGCCGCATGCTGCATCACAAGCATCCCTCCTGGGGAGGCTGTCCTGCCACAGACCGCCCCCGCCCGCCTCCCCTGGCCCCTCACCTCCAGCAGCAGGATGTCGGCGTCGCAGCCCACAGCGATGCGGCCCTTGCGCTCCAGCTTCAGGCGTGCCGCGGGGTTGCGCGTCATCAGCGGCAGCACCTCCTCCAGCGCCCAGCCCTCCTCCATCACCATGGCCCGCAGGAAGCGCAGCATGGCGCCTGCAGGCAGGCACAGGGCCCGGTGGGCGGGCCGGCGCCAGCAAGCATGGGAAGAGTGCTGTCTGAGCTGAGAACTCGGCTCCTCCGCCCCCCCGCCGCTGAGCGGGCGCACCTGGGTCTGCCACATCGTACTGCACCAGCCGCCCCTGGGCGTCAAACACAGGCAGGCTGCCATAGCTGTCTGTGGACACGGTGACACCCTCCAGAGGCAGGCCCTTGTCGCGGTACAGCCTCAGGGCTGCACGGCACTGGGAGGGAGAGCTGCAGGGCCAGGTGGCGGCAAGAAAGGGCAGCCTCACGACCGGCAGCAGGCTTCCTGCAGTACATGGCAGGCAGGCGGTGCTGGCCGCCACCGCCACCTCAGCCCCGCACCCCACCTGCAGGTGAGGTCCAGCGTGCCGCCATCCGCCAGCCAGGCGGCGCCGTCGGCGACCAGCTCTGGGCTGCGCTCCATGTGGGTGGGGTGGAAGGCGGTGACGGGCAGGTCGCCGGCGCCGCAGGCCAGCGCGTCGCGCAGCGGCTGCAGCCGCGCCGCGCCGGGCCCCATGTGGCAGTGCACGATGCCCGCCTTGCCCGACAGCATGCCGCCCACCCGCGCCTCGAGGCCCAGGCGCAGCAGGTCTGCGGGGGTGGGTGCCGAGCCGCGGTGGTCTGACACCGCCACCTCGCCCACGCCCAGGCAGCTGGCGACGAGGCACAGCTCGCGCTGCACGCTGCCGGTGATGGTGGCGGGCGGCAGGCGGTACGAGCCGCACCAGGAGTAGGCGGTGATGCCGTCCTCGTTCAAGCCCTGCACCTGCGCCACCAGGTTCTCCTGCGTGCGGCTCACGCTGTCGGTGCCCAAGACGCCCACCACGCAAGTCAGGCCTGCCTGCAGAAGCTCCGACAGGCCTCGGGGGGCGGGGGTTCTGCTCCCGGGCCCGGCCTCCCCGCCACCGCCGCACACATGCACGTGCAGGTCAATGAAGCCCGGGACGGCAAGTAGGTTTTGCCCTGCAAGGGGGGCACCGGGTTTGCCTGCCTATAGGCAGCCGGCGATGCGCGGTGCGTGGGCGGCGGTGCAGCAGAGCCGGCTGGTGCGGATGGCCAACAAGCAGGTCATACAGGCGTTAGGGACCCTGCACGATGTAGCTGGGAATACAATGACAAGGCTAGCAAGTGCACCTGAAACATCGAGCACCGGCACACCCAGGGCGGCAAAGGCGGCGGCAGCCTCGGGAGTCAGGAGGCCCAGTATTTGACCGCCTCCCATCAAAATTGCAGCCTCAGATGGTATGTGGGCTTCAGAGGAAGCAGAAGCAGGCTGGCTTGGGACAATACTGGCATTGGTGATGAGCTGCAGTGCGGTTTGGGAGGCCATGATGTTGACATCAGGTGTGGATTTCGGGTGTGATCAGACAGCTGCATGCCTGCATATTTCTATACGTTCGGCGGTAGGGTTTTTTTCGGCGGCTGAGTCACGCCACGCGGCGGCGCGACACAGCGATGACGGCCCGTGAAAAGGAGGGCCATAAACCACTGTTGGCAATGTGCTGTGCTCTCAGTCCCGACAGCCACGACAAGGGCTTGTAACACACCACACCACCTCGCAGTGCTCACGGCACAAGCCCCCCTTCCGGCAGCCACCATCCACACCGCTTCTAGGCATTGGTACCGTGAGCTGGGCTAAGGGGCTGAGGGGTGCCGCGCGTCTGATCACTCGGTTTGTGAGCAGGCCAAGGCCTCCATTTGAACGAACAGGCAAGAAGGGCAGGGAGCCGGCAGCGAGGGGAGGCTTGCCTGGCGTCCCCTCCCTGCTTACCCTCTCCCCGCCTGCGCCCTCACCGCCGCTGCTAATGCGCTACCCAGGACTTCCTACACACCCCCTGTTTTCCCCGCAGCGCAAGGCTGATTCGCGCGACATGGCGGCGCCAGAGCCAGCCCGTGCGGGCAGCATCCTGTATGCGCTGGTGGCGCGCGGCAGCGTGGTGCTGGCGGAGCACGCGTCCGTGAGCGGCAACAGCAGCGTGGTGGCGGTGGGGCTGCTGCAGAAGGTGCCGCCGGAGGAGGGCTTCCGCGCCAGCTGGGCCGCGGGGCAGCACATCTTCCACATCCTGTCCGCCGGCGGCCTTACCTACCTGTGCATGGCGGATGAGGTGCGGGCCGCTGGGGCTGGGGCGCCTGCCACCGCCACCTGTGATGGTCGACCTGTCCCCGCCCGCCCTGCCCTGCCCTGCCCGCCCTGCCTCCCTCCTCCTGCCAGTTTGTGTGTTAGCCGGCAGCGGAAGTTGCCGCTTGAAGCATCATTGGCTGCCTGTCTCATGCCCCCTCGTCCCCCGTTCGTCCTGCAGAGCCTGGGCAAGCGGCTGCCGTTTGTCTTCCTGGCCGACGCGCAGCAGCAGTTTGAGTCCCGGTACTCTGCGGTGGCGCCTGGTGCGGTGGCCTACGAGATGAGCACCGAGTTTGCTCCGGTACTGCGGGACCGCATGCACTACTTCAACACAGACCCGCGGTGGGTGCGGGGGTTGGGTGGGGGGTGGGGGGTGGGGGGTGGGGTATTTGACGGGGCAGGAGCGAGTGGATGCAGGAGGCAGGGGCCCGGCAGGAGGCATGCGCAGGTGCCGCGCGCTGAGGCCAGGGGCGGCCGTGTGTTTTGCTGCGACTGGTGTGTGCAGGGCGGACACGCTGTCGCGGGTGCGTGGCGAGGTGGTGGAGCTGAAGAATGTGATGGTGGACAACATCGAAAAGGTGGGGTGGGGCACCCAGAAGAAAAGAAAAGATGGGGGAGGGTGGGCTTGCGGTAGGGGCCCGGTCGTGCACTCCTTCACCTCGCTTGCTAGCGCCGCCGCAGGTTCTGGGGCGGGGAGAGAGGCTGGAGCTGCTGGTGGAGAAGACGGATGAGATGGGGCAGCAGGCCTTTGCCTTCAAGCGGCAGGTGGGTTGTGTGTGTGCACGGTGTGTAGTTCTGTGGTGGTGTTTGCATGCGTGTGCTGCCTTGCTTGCATACCTTGCCTGTGGGGAAAAAAACAATGTGCCTAGATTGCTCCCAACACCACTCAGTGCTCGGTGCGCCCGTGCAGGCACGTGTGCTTCGGCGGCACATGTGGTGGCAGAATGCCCGCATGGCAGTTGTCATCTCCGCGCTGGTGCTGCTGGCGGCTTACGCCATCGTGTGCGTTGTCTGCAGCCCAACATTCAAGTGCTGACGGGCTTTGATTCCTGCTTTCCTCACTCCCCAACATGACGGGCGCTTCAGCGCACATTCACCCAACACACTGTGACTTCTGATATTTGGCTGGAGCCGAAGCTTTACAGGCGCAGCGCCCCATCTGTAACAACAGCGCAGCCCGTCCCGGCCAGGCTCACAGGTCCAGCCTGCGCTGGATGAAGACCTGCGGCGCCGTCTCCACCTGCAGCGGCAGCTGGCCGCGCAGCAGCCCCCGCAGCGCGGCCGCGGGGCTGCGCACGCGCAGGCTCAGGCGGCGGAAGCCGTGGGCGGCGGCCAGCTGGGCGTAGCCCTGCACGGCCGGCTGGTCGGTCAGCAGGAAGTCGTACCGCCGCTTTGCCAGCTGGCCTGGGTCCAGCCCCTCCTCCTTGCAGTAGGACCAGGGCTCCCCCACCTCCCCGAACCGCGACACTCCCATCATGGCCGGCACCACGCCGACGTGCACGCGCAGCTGCCGCCCCTGCGCCGCCGCCGCCGCCGCGTCTGCCGCCGCCAGGCTGTGCAGCTGCCTCAGCGCCGCACCCCCCGGGTAGTTGTGCCGGCTGGCCGCCGCCGTGACCAGCGTCAGCGCCAGGCCCGCCGCCAGCGCGCCGCCCACCACCAGCAGCAGCAGGCGGCGCGCCGCCGACTTGCCGCGGCCCACCCACGCCCGCTGCACCGCCGCCGCTGCCGCCAGGTTCCACAGCGGCAGCACCGGGAACAGGAAGCGCACCTCCTTGTGGCCCAGATTTGAGTAGAGCAGCACAAAGGCCAGGCCAACTGCCAGGGGCGGGCGCACGCGGCGCTCCAGCAGCGCGCCCAGCGGGGCCAGAGCGTAGGCAGCGTGCAAAGCGCGTGGCAGCGCCGACGTGAAGTACCAGTGCGCCGGCATCACGCCCCACTCGTGGCTCCTGCGGGGCGCAGGAAGCAGACGAGGAGGGGGTTTGGGGTAGGCGGGGTAGGGTATACATTGCACTTGGGTCTTGTTGCAAAAGCAAAAAAGCAGGCCACGGAAACCACGTCGGCATGCTTGCGTGCCCCCGCCCATCCCACCTCCCCGCCTCACTTGTTGAGCACGGTGTTGAAGTGCAGCACCTCGCCCTCCGGCCACAGCCAGCGGCGCCAGAAGAAGGAGTCTGCCAGCAGGGAGGCGGCCAGGCTGGCGGCGACGGCGGCGGCGCCGTGGGCCGCGCCGCGCGCCAGGCTGGTGCGGCGCGTGGCCAGCAGGTGCAGGCCCACCAGGCCCACCAGCAGGATCATGTCGCACCGGAACACCACCTGTGCGCACGGGGGCGGCAGGCGCAGGGCCCGGGGCCATGGAGCAGCTGGCAGGTGGCAGCAGCCAAGCGGCTCCCTCCAAACACACGCTCCAGAAGGGCGGGTCCGGCTGTGCAGCCACCAGCAGCTGGCTGGCTGACCCACCCACCGCGGCTGCCGTGAGCAGGTAGATGGGTGCGGGCGAGTCGCCGCCTGCCAGCCAGCAGGCCAGGCCCGCGTTGGTCAGCGGCATGGCCAGCACGTTGGGCAGGGTGCGCGAGAGGTAGAAGGGCAGGTGGAACTGCAGCGCGGTCAGCAGCATGAAGGCGGCGGCGGTGGCGCCTCCCAGCTGCCGCCGGATGGTGCGCTGCACCAGGGCCAGGCTGCCCACCGTGGCCAGGCCCTGCAGGTCAGCAGGCACAGGGAGGGACTGGTGTCAACAGGGCCGCCGAGCCACCAGCACCAGGGCTTCCTTGGGCACAACAACTCTGCTCTCCAGGATCGCGCATGTTAAGCCAGCGCCATGCACCCAGACCAAACTCAAACTCACCAGCACCAGCCGCACCGCCAGCAGGCTGGCCAGCTTGGGTGCGCCCAGCACGCGCAGCAGCAGCACCGCCGGCGCCGCGCCGCAGGCCATCGCCAGCGGGCCCAGAAAGGTGCGGGGCACCACTCCCGGGAACTCCAGGTGATCGTAGGCGGTCAGGTTGAGGCCGTGGTACAGCAGGTCGTGGGTGGCCTGCAGGTTGAAGCTCTCCTCCACCTTGGTGAAGGGAGCCAGGCAGGCGTGCGCCGCAACCGCCGCCGCCACCAGCACCGTCCAGCCTGCGGCAGCAGGGTTGGGGCATCGATCCGACTTTGCCTGCGATACACTGCCCTAGGTATTCGGCATGCCTCTGCAGGCGACGCAGGCCTGCGCAGAGAGGGGAGCAGGCGATCGTGCGGGATGCTGTCGGGCGGGCCCCACCATCGATCAATGCGCTTCCCCGAGCCATATGGTGCCGATCATGAGGCGACAACGCGAAACTGGCAGGGGTGCTAATTAACAGAGGAGCGGTGGGTATCGCTATGCAATGCAATTTGGTGCGTTAGATGATAGCAATGCCAAGCACCTGGTGGAGGGATGGGATAGTGTGCAGCCCGGCGGCGCGGCGCTGGCGCCAGCTGTGCATCCCCTCCCCCTGGCCCCGCCTCCGAGCGCCTCCTGCTGTGTTGCCTATCAGCCTTCATGAGTTCAACTTGTTTCATTGGCTACTTTTCAGTTCTGCACACACAAGGCACATTCAATGAAGTTCCTGGCATAGCACACTGGCAGTCAGAAGGTTGCATGCATGCATTCCTCTAGTGCAGCTTATCCACCCGCACATACAGCTGGCCTGCTGCAGTGCACATCGCTTTGGCCGACTGGGTGTCGATCCTGGCAGGCAGCTGAATGGTCTCGCTGCTGGAGCGTCCTGCCCACCAGCCAGCCTCGCCTCCGCCTGCCGCACCATCGCGTGGCTCGCCGCTGACACGCACCAGCCCGCTGCTCCAGCAATGAACGCTGATCTGCTGGCGGGCAGGCAGGCAGGCAGGCAGGTGGGACCATCTGGGGCTTGTGGTGGTGGCTGCCCTGTGCAAGCATGCAGGCTGGCAGTGCACGGCATGCTGCCACCCAGGCCCCACCCCTACCTCGTGAATGCCCAGCCCCGGCATCAGGACAAAGATCTCAAAGCCAGCCGGGGGCGCCGAGGCGGTGAAGGCACGGTAGCTGCGGCCGGCAGCCACGAGCGCCTGCGGCTGATGATGCTCAGCCACGGTGGGGGTGGCCGTGGTGGGCATCGGCATGGCTGGTGCCGAGGCTGCTGGGGTAGCCTCCAGAGGACCGCTGGCCAGCAGGTGTGTCGGCCCCTGGCCAGCGTGAGGCAGGCCAGCCAGGGGCAGGCCGCTGAGCACCCCGCCCCCCGCAGGCAGCCCTGGGGGCAGCTCAGCCAGACCTTCTGTTGGATACTGCTGTTGGTATTGCTGATAAGGTTGGTACGGCGTGAATGCTGCGGGGCCAGCAGCGGCGCCCCAAGGCGGCTGCTCGGTGGCGGCCGTGCGAGCACGCTTGGGAGCTGGCACGCCTGCCGCCACCTCTGCCGCCGACCCATCCAGCACACGCTCCATGGCCGGCGCCAGCGGCTGCACGTGCTGGCTGCTGAGCCCTGAGGCCACGCTGCCACCCGGTGCCGCCTGCTGGAAGAGCTGCTGCTGCTGCGGCGGCGGCGGCGGCGGTGGCGGCAGCGGCTGTGGCGGGCCATCTGCAAACAGCCAATGCTCGTAGCGCAAGTTGAGCGCCTCCTTCTCGCCCTGCAGGGCACGGGACGGCACCCAGGCAGCCAGGGCCGTCAGAATGCGGGCAAGTCCTGATGCACGCAAGTCTCGCTGCCGCTGTGCAGCAGCTGGCTTGGGCACCGGGTGGAGCGCTGCAGCAGAGCGGCCAGGGCGGCAGCCCTGTGCAAGGCGACCCTGAGCACGCACATCGTCATAGCAAATCTCGTGGGCCTGGCTCTCTGGGTGGTACCCCACCACTGCAGCAGGTGGCAGGCCGACAGCCAGTGCTTCAGCAGCTGCCAGCAGCTGCCACACCCCCATGACCAGCCTGCCGGCCAGCAGTGTGCAAGCCGACACCAGACCTGTGGCAAAGTAAAACTGGGTGTCGCCGCCCCACCACACGCCGATGCGCCGCCCCACAATCTCCTGGGGGGAACCCACAACGCGCGGCGGGGTGCTCCGCAGCTGCGGGGCATATGGCTTGGGCTGTGGGGTCTGGGAGCGGGCAGGCAGGGGTGAAGGGGCGGTGTGAAGGCAGGCTGTGTCGCCACATGCCAGTCAACTGCAATGCAGACGCAATGAGCAGTCCTCACCCGGGCCCGGTGCCTTGATGGTGGGCGAGTGGCGCCTGCTTCTGCCCGCATGGCGGCGGCAGAAGGTGCGTAGCGCGGGAGGCTGGGCGCTGGTGCCGCTGCCAGTAGCCCCGCAGCCTCCTCAGCCCCCCAAGCTGCGTGTGCTGATGGCGGCGCAGCTGCTGGCCCTGGCGGTGCCACTGCAATCGCGGCAGGCTGGGCATGTGTCGCTTCCTGCTTCTTTGCGGCCTTGCCCGCTGACACAGCCGGCTGAGACGGCGCCTTGGCTCGAGAGCGTGGACGCGAGCGCGCGCGAGAGGAAGGGCGCTGCTGCTGCTGCGCTAAGGTGACTGCTGGCAGCCCTCCAGCCGCCGCCGCAGCCGCCGCCGCTGCCGCCAGCTGCTCCCTTGCCGGCTCCCTCCTCTGCGGCCGCGGCTTGGCCGGCGTGGACGTGCTGGCAGGCGGCTCTGGCGTGGCGGCGGTGCTGGGCGCAGAGTCCAGCTGGATGTGTGCATTGATCTCGCCGGCGATCAGGGCCTGCGGGCGGTGGCAGCATGCGGAGCAGGCAGCGTGCGGGGCATAACTGGCAGGGGCATCCCAGAGTGTGTGGGGGGCGTCCCAGTTGCTCCCCACACACGCTGCAGCCAACGCTGTCAACCTTTTCAAAGTCGAGCAATCGGCTGACATAGATCTTCTTGGTTTGGTAGCTGAGGTCGGTCATGGAGGAAGGGGGGTTGAAGGCGCGCCCCACGCGCGCCTGCAGGGTTTATGCGCCGGGCAGTGCGTTGGTGGGTGGACGGCAGCAACACCACAGCATGCTGAGGGGAGCGGTGTGGTCATGGTTGACCAGCGCTTACCCAGCCCTTCTGCACCAGCACCGTCTCGTAGCCGCCCGCCTTCATGACATGCTTGAACAGCTTGAACAGATCCATTGTCGCCCGGTTGAAGATGGCGGGCTGCGGGGCAGGAGCGGCAGCATAAGCCAACACACATCATGTGGACAGCACTCAGGAGTAGCCAGGAGAGGTGCGCTGGGTACCTACCGAGGTGTCCAGGCCGCGCGACTGCATGAAGGCAGTCCACACCTGCAGTGGAGAGGGGCCAAGCAGGCTGGCGGCGGATGGCAAGGTCGCTTGGCGTCCGAGGAGCGTGCAAGGCCTGGCAGCCCGCCCGGCGCTCGAGTCACGCCGAGGTTGCGCCTCCCCTCCCGCCTCCCTGGTAACACATGCGCTCCCTTGGCGCACCTCCATGAACTGCTCCCTGGTGCGCACGACCCTGAATTTGCCAGCAGCGCCTGACGTCAGCGCATGGCGCGGACCTGCCGCCACCTCGGAGGCGGCGCCCGCGCCCGCCGGAGCTGCGGCTGCTGCAGGCTCCCCGGCAGCTCGCACATCGCTCCCAGCAGCAGCCATGGATGGTGCCTCAGCTGGCCCAGCTCCTGACGCCTCTATGCTATCGTTGCTCGCCTTAGCCTGCTCCATGGGCTCACCTGCTGATGCTGCCTGCACGATGGGTCAAGCAGGCAGGCCTGCCTGCTTGGACGAGCAGAGCTAGGCCTGCAGCCAGCCCGAGTTCAGCAGCTCAAGGGGTGCGGCCCATGGCCCTTGGCAAGGTGCTCATGCCACAGAGAGACGGGTGGAGAACCTAAGACTGCCAGGTGGTGAACCTAAAAGTGTTCCATGCGGCTCCAACAGGCCTGCCCCCAATAGACGGTTCTTTCTAGCAGGCGCCCAGGTCAGGCATTCTCATCATCTCAACGCTGAAATCCTTCTGGTCTGTGCGTTATTGCAGGAGCCATGAGCAACGAAACAAAAGGCAACAGAAGCAGCATGTGAACGGCAAGCAAGCAGGTACAAACAAACAAGCAGCAAAACGAAAGAGGTGGGGAGAGGCCAGGAGGAGCCAGGGCTAGTCGCGCTGCATGAAGCGCAGGCTCTTGGACTTGAGGCCGCGCATGGTCTCGCGCATACTCTCCCCCGCCGCCGCCGCCGAGGCCTTGGCGGCGGTGAGGTTGGGGTTGAGCTTGCCCAGCCGCGCCGCAACGTCCTGCGCCGCCTTGGCCGCCGCGTTGCTGGTGCCCGACTGCAGGCGCGGCATCTGCATCTGTGGCAGGCTGAAGCCCGAGGCGGCAGACCGCACCGCCACGCCGTCGCCCGACAGCAGCGGGCGTCCCATGCGGCGGTTGAACTGCTCCAGCACAGCCTGGTACTCGCCGCGCTTCAGCACCTGCGCGGGACACAGAAGCACATGGGACCAAGGCAGCACATAAGTGAGCGAGGCGGGTCACGGGCTGCAGGAAGATGGGCGGGCACAGCAACATGCCCACCGCCTTGGTTCATGCACCCCCCCCCCTCGCTGACGCAACTACCATCATGTACCCCCTCACCCACCCGCCCACCCACCTTGAGGTCTGCCATGCGCTGGAAGTCGGAGGGCGAGCCGTGGGGCAGCAGCTCGAAGAAGGTGTCCACCATGCCGTCGGGGGGCGACCCCACCACCTTGAGCACCGCCTCGGCGCGCCCCAGCTGCGCGTTGACGTCGGCGGCAAACGACTGCACCCCCGCCACATCCAGCTGGCCCCCCGCCTTGGCCAGGTCCGACAGCTGGCCCTTGATCACCTCCGTGTCCAGCCGCATCTGTATGGAGAGGCGAGAGGCGCACGTGGGTGGCGGCGGTGGTGGCGACAGTGGCTGAGAAGGCTCTAGTGTCGGCAGATGTGCAAGTCAGGCCCGGCTCAGCACGGCACCGTGCTCGGAATGGCACCCACGCCGACTCTCCCATGTCAGGCAGGCAGCATGCACCCAGCCTCCACAGCCACACACCCACGCCGCCCCAACCCTGCTCGCCTGCTGGCAGCCGATGTCGGAGATCTTGCGGCAGCGGAAGACGTTCTCGTAGAAGCGCGGCGCAAAAGAGCGCAGCAGGCGGTCGCAGAAGAAGCGGAAGTAGTTGGGCGGCATGGCAGGGCCCAGCCGCGCGCCCACATCCAGCAGCACGCGGCGGAAGGAGCCGACGTACTCGCTCTGGTCGCCCGCCTGCAGCCGGCAGGGCCGGGGCGGCAGGCCGTGGGGGCGGCTGGCAGGCAGAGGGGTGCAGCCAGGGTGTGCGTGAGGCAGCGGGGGTAGCCGCCCGGGTGCCGGCCAGCCCGGGTGCCAGCGCACCATCTCCATGCCCGCCCAGTTGATGCGCGCCATGGCCGACAGCGCGCCCTCCAGCTTGGTCTCGATGCCCAGCAGCAGCGAGGCCAGGCACTGCGTGGTCACAGTCTGGAACTCGTCCTCCTCCTCGCTCATGTCCACCCTGGGGGACGAGGGGTGGGTGGAAGCGACTGGAAGAGAGGGAAACCAATGAGGAGGCAGGGAGGCAGGGAGGCAGCAGCAGATGGAGGCAGCAGACGCAGCAGCCTGTGGTGTGCGCCGCCACACCCGACTCCCTTTCCAGCCCGCCCGCCCTCCCCCGCAGCCCGCCCCCAGCGCCCCCCCACCTGGATGCCAGCTCCCGAGGCTCCAGCTTGGCGGCCAGCGCGCGCGCCAGCTGGCGCACCATCTCCTGGCAGTGCTCCGCGGTGGAGGCGATGAGGCACACCACCCCGATGTCGTCGTCGCTCAGCCGCACATACCAGTCGCTGGCGCCCAGCACCGCCGCTGCGCCCAGGCTGCCGGAGGAGGGCTTGGGCAGGCGCGCCACCAGGCGGGCCGCATACGCGCGGTACACGCGCTGCGCCGCACAGCAGGGGGCACATGAGTGGGTTGGTCACAGTGCTCAAGGCCAGGCTGGGCACATCCACCCTTTCTCAAAACCGGCACCACGCGCGCCTCCGCCCTCGCTTCCCTCCCCTCTCCCCCTGCCCCCCACCTGGAACACGGCAGCCAGCTCCAGCAGCGGGCGCCCGCGCGTGACCCTCCCCGTGCAGTCCCGCATCTCCGCCTTGAGCGCCTCCACCAGCTCGTTGCTGCTGCGCAGCACCCGCAGGTCGCCCGACAGCGGCTGCCAGCTCTCCTCCCGCATCAGGCGCTCCAGCGCCGCCATCAGGTCTCGCTCCACCTGCTCAAAGTACACGCTGCAGGCAGCGGCGAGAGGACGCGGCTGGCGGTAAGAAGCTGGTCGGGTTGGCACCAGCCACAGGGTGCAGGCAGTGGGCCGACTATGAAAGCCTGGGCTGGGCTGTGGCTGGCTGGGCGTTACGCAACCCCCCCTCCCGCGCACCCACCCGAGGTATGGCACAAAGACGGAGGAAATGCTGCCCTTGAAGTTGGTCTTGGCCACTGCCACCGAGGTGGCGTGCTCCTGCAGCAGCAGCAGGGCGGTTGCAGCAGCAGTCCCCCAAGCTGGCTGCCGGCCTGCTTTGCGGCGCCTGCACCACCCACCCTGCCAGCCACCTCAGCCCCCCCACCTGCTCCTTGCGCCGCTCTGGCGACTCCCCCTCCGCGGTGCGCTGCTTCTCTCGCGCCAGCTTCTCGTACCGCTGCCGTACCCGCGAGGCCGGGGTGCTATCATCCGCCGTCGCGGCGCCGCCGTCGGCCCCCACCTCTGCATCCTCGCTGCTGCTGGGCTCCCGGTCCACCGCCCCCTCAAACCGCCGCGCCATCTCGCTCTCAAAGATGTTGGTGGCCTCCACCGCCTTAAGCAGGTTGTCCACCTGCTGGGGCAGCTCGGCAGACTGCGGGGCGGGGAGGGCCTGGGGGATGGGAGTGAGCGAGACGGCAAAAGGTGCAGGGCTGCCAGGGAGGGGCTGGCACGGCCGCGTCTGATCACCCATGCGCCCCTCCTTGCCAGCCGCACCTTGAGGTCCAGAATCTCCGCCAGCATGGTCTTGCTAATGTTGCAGAACATGATGCACAGCAGCTGCGGCACGTGCCAGCTGGGCGGGAAGATGGCCCAGATGTCCTTGCGCGCCTCCAGCCGCTTGAGCAGCCACTTGTAGCGGTTGGCTGTGCGCTCCAGGCGCGCGGTGTCGCCGATGGTGGCAAATATCTGGGTGTACACCCCCATCTCCCGCTTGCACACCGAGTCTATCAGCTCGTCGCGAGCCTGGCGCAGGTGGGCGGCAAGGCAACCAGGCAGCCGGGGTGGACGGCAGCGGGGTGAGCTCGCGGTGAGGGTGCAATGACTTGGTGCAGCCGACATGGCCAGCGCTTTGGCCGGCCTGCGGCTCCCTGCTCCCATGCCCAGCCCAGCCCTGCTGCGCCCACCTGGTACCCCAGCGCCTCCACCACCATGCAGCAGGACCGCAGGCGCTCCAGCAGCAGCGGGCTGGGCGTCTCCTCGCCCAGCAGCTCAAACTCGCGCATCGTGTTGATCTGCAGGCTGCGCTCCAGCGCCGTCAGCCGCCCCTTGAGCTCAGCCACCTTGGGGATGTGCACGTACGACTGGAAGTGGGAGGACAGCTGCTGCACAGCCTCCAGCAGGTGCGCCGCCTCGGCGTACTCGTGCCGCTCCACAGCCAGCTGCAGCTGGTCTGCAGGGGCCAAGCGGGGGGTGGCAGGGCGGCGGGTGAAGGGGTGGCAGAGATGGGCAAATGGCGCAACGGGGAGTGCAGCAGCAGCATTTTCAGCAGCAGAGGCAGGCAGCAGGCAGCAGGTCCATCCATGGAGCAGGGCATCTGCAACGTAAAACGATCCCAGTCAACCAGACACGGCAGCTCGGCAGCCAGCCTTCCCCACCCACCGCCCTCGCACCTACGGCATTGACGAGCATGGAGAGGCGGCGCAGCGCAGTGATCGTTGCCGTGAGGTGCTTCTTGGCGTAGTCCAGCTTCTTGATGTCCCTGCAGATCTCCTGCACCATCAGCTCGCTCTGCTCCGCCTTGCGCTGGATCTCGTGGATGCGGGCAAACAGGTCCTCGATGGCGGCGCGCGCACCCGCCAGCTCCTCCCGCGCCCTCGCCCCGCTGCTGCTCTGCACCCGCACCGCCTCCAGGATTTCCGCATCCACGCGCTGCACCTGCAGAAGGCAACCGGTGGTGCATGGCAGCGAATGTCGGGCATGCAGCGCTTCTGGAGAAAGGTGGCCAAGCGGCAGGGCTGCAAACACGCCAGCCCCCCCCTCGGGCAGCTGGCCACCACCGCATTGCCCGCTCTCCCTGCAGCACACCTTTTGCCTCAGCGTGACCACCAGCGGATCCAGCTCTACTAGCGATGCCTCTGCACAGCCACAGGCGGGGCGGAGGAGCGGGCACGGCTTGCACGCCAAGCCGCCTGCAGGGGCGCTGGCTACGCAGGGCGCTTCCCGACCCTGATCAGCCACCCGGAGGTTCTCACCCGAGGGGAACATGGTGTTCACGTAGTGCTGCACGTCGAAATTGGGCTGGTCGAAGGGGTCTGCGAGTTGACCGGCGTCAGCCGTCGGCTGGGGGCTGGCTGAAGACGCCATGCCTGCCCCCTGTGCCGCTGCACGGTGGCAGGGTGCCCGAGCCACAGAGGAACTGCGATCACTCACTCCAGACGTTCGACTGGGGGGCCTTGCCACCTGTCGTAGCACTGAGAGATGGGGTGGATGCAGCGATTGTGGCTCAAATCGCAGGCAGAGCACATTTGTGGCACAGCTGGCCGCCTGCGTGGCACTTGTCCATTCAGCGCCGCCCTCCCGCCCTCTCCCCTCCTTGTGGCAAGCCTCCCACGCCTCGGTCTGCTGAGCACTCCACATCACCTCTTCCCTTGCCCCTCCCTCTTCGACAAAGTCCCAGCCCGGCGGCGGCCCAGCCCTCCTGACCCCTCCCTGGCTGGGACTCTGGGTGGCGGCATGGCGTCCACGCTGGCCCTGCTCAGCGGCATAACGGTGCAGCCCGTCGGCGCCACCCCCATGGCGCACTCGCCGTCGGCGTCGGCCACGCACGTGCAGCAGCAGCAGCAACCACAGCAGCAACAGCAGCAGCAGCAGCAACAGCAGGCGGCATCCACAAGCACGGTTACAGGCGAGGGCTGTTGCTGTCCATACTTGCAGCCCTTGTAAGCCCGCACCTTGTGGCATGCGGAGCACCGCTGACTGAACCCACGCTGCTGCTGCCGCCCACAATTTGCAGAGCACCTGGTGCTGCGCTTGATGCCCAAGAAGAAGAAAAAGGGCAAGGTGGGTCATGATGGCTGATCTGGGCAGGTGCATGTCTCGGCGTTGTGCTGTTGCTGCGGCAGCGCTCCAATCATAACGCTGCCTCAAGGTGGACGTAGGCGCGTGGCAGCAACGCACATAAAGGGTGCTTGGCCCGGTGCAGGGCGTGCAATGGGCCGAGGATGTGGTAGACAATGAGTTTATGAACAAGAAGAAGTCGAAAAGTGAGTGGGCTTTGCCATGTGCATGTGACCCGCCTATACCGCACTTGATTTCACATAGGTGATGCATCGGCATCCCATTTCTCTCCGCTGCAGAGTGCTGCATCTTCCACCCGCAGCGGCAGTTTGGAGAGTGGAGCGACAACGAGGACAGTGATGCAGAGTGCGACTGCCCTGATGGCGCCTGCCAGCCGCCAGACCAGCCACAACAGCAGGCAAAGCCGGCGTTGCACACAGCGAGTGGCACACCGTGAAATGCAATCAGTAGTTGCTGCCTGTTCCCATCTTGATGCTTGCCTCCATGTGCTTGCCCCTTCCATGCTCCTTTCTTGCGCTTCTCCTTGCTGGTCTGCACGTGCCGCTTCCATGTCATCAGCTCAGAGCTTACATGAAATTCTCAGTATAATGTTTGAAGACAGCCAAATGGCCTAGATCAGCGGCCTGCCCCAGACAGAGGGCATCTCTTGCAGTACAGGCAAGTACAGGCAGAGCTGGGTGGGTTGCCGCAGAGGCTGGGAAGACAGCGAGAAGGAAAAATTGCCAAGCCGGCGCCGGCCAAGCCTGCCAGGCGCCCCAAAAAAGGAAGAGGGAAGGTGCAAACATGAGTGTCGGTGCGAAAAGAAGTGGCTGAAACGTGGAGGAGTTGGCTGCCTCCCAAGCCGAGCTTACTCCAGGTCCACGAGGCCCAAGTAGGAGGCCATGAGCTTGAGCTGGTCGATGAAGCTCACACCCGTGGCATACTCGGTCATCAGGCCAATGCCAATGCCCATCATCACCCAGCGCCCGTTGTTGATCTCATTCTTCCTGGTCCAGCCAAACACCCTGCACAGAGGAGGGCGGCGGGTGTTAAGGAGGGATGCACGCAGGGGCCAGCAGTGGATGCGAGCAGTTGTGGATGCGAGGAACGACGCAACTTTGCGGCACTGGTGCATGAGCGGGCAGGGTCTCATTGGTCTAGTTTGTCATCAGGGATATCAGGCTTAGATGTTCTGTTTTTGCGCACATTCACCGACCCACAGGCCATGCGGTGCACGGCATGCACGATGCACACAAGCACATGCACAGGCTGGGCACCCAGCCAGCCAGCCCTCACTTGGCCTTCTCCACCGTGTCGGTGAACTTCAGCTCACGGAAGTACTTCTGCATGGCCTTGGCCTGCTGCCGCTGGTACTCAATGGTCACGCCCCTGCAGCACCCAAGCACCAGCGCCGGGATGGATCGCGACGTACCGACCGAGGTCGGCAGCGCATAGGCACAGTGTGCGCACAGCCAGCACGGGCGGCCTGGCCACCATGGGCAGCCAGCGAGGGGCCGCAAACTCACGAGGGCGCGCTGGAGGCTACTGCTGCTGCTGCCGGCACGGGCTCTGCTGCTGCCTCGGGTGCCGCTGGCGCCTGCTCTGCGGGTGGCGCAGGCCGCGCGAGCGGCTTCTGCAGCAGCGGGTCGCTGGAGGCCTGCACTGCTGCCAGCCGCCGCCGAGTGGACCTCTGCAGCAGGCGTGTGAGGAGCAGCAGCATGTGGGCAACCAAGTGACCGGCTGCCGTCTGGCCACAGCGACCGACAGGGGGGCCGGCGCAGCAGCTCCCGTCGGGCACACAGCCGCCAGAGGCCCACCAGCAAACCGGCCACCCGCGTGCAGCACCAGCCACCCTCACCGCTTGAGATCCCGTTTGGAAGGCGGGGCAGCCTGCAGGCAGGGCAAGGGGTGGTGGAGTGGGTGGCTGCGAATCGGGCAGGCGTGAATTCACCAGCGCGGCGCGCCGGCGGCCCGTCCACCAGTGCCCTACCTTTCCGCAAGCTCAGTGTGGACTGCATTGTGCCGCTGGAACGAGCTGGGGTGCGCGCAGACTGTGTGGAGGTGTCGGCACCTGGGGCTGGTGCTGAAGGCCAGACTGATGCGTACGGCCAAGGATCTGGTGGGAATGAAGCACAGGAAGTGTGGTTTAGGCGATGAATGAGAGGGCACAGCACGCAGCAGGCATTTTTAGCAAGAGGCGTCCAGGCCGAGCTATATCGACTACATTGCGCGGCGTGCTGCCTGATGCATCGAGCCGCGGTCACGCCGACACCAACACACACACACACTTCAGCATGGTGCGCACACTCTAGGCCTCTTCTCTGCCCCAATTGCATCGGAATTGCATCAACAGAATCCTGGGCCGGCGCTTCTGTGCCAGGCTGGAACCGCCCAAATGTTGTCACCCGCCTGCCCCGCCGCCTTCCACCGCCACCACTCTTCTGGCAGCCTACGCCGCCTTCAATTCTCCTCCTTGAATGCCCACCAATTGCTGCTGTGGTGTGCAGGGGTACTGTGGCTGGTGCCCCTACCTGAACAAGTGGTTCACCTTTGTAGCCAGCATCGGCGTCGCGTTATGCTGTGGGTGAGGGCCCGCCTGCAGTTCCATGCTCGCCATTCCACCTTGTGCCTCTTGTGCGGCGTGCACTCACCTTTGGTCATGCTGGCAGGCTGACATACACGTTTGCCATCTGGAGCGGGGCCATCAAGAACAAGTATGGGCTCGATCAGGAGCGTTTGCAGTTCATCGCGAGTGCAGCCAACGTGGGCGGCTACAGCTCCATCTTCTCGGGCCTGATGTATGATGCCCTTGAAAAGCACAAAAGAGTTGGCCCCCGCGTGGTTGTCATGATCGGCTGTGCTGCCAACGCCCTGGGCTATATCGGCCTCTGGGCCGCAGTCAAGGGGTGAGCAGCAGGCAAGGGGTCTGCACGAGCTCAGTGTGACCGCACCTAGTGTCGGTCAAACTAAGGGGTGGCGTGGCTACCATGCAGGGTGTTCCAAGCCAAGTTCTGGCACCTCGTGTGTCTGGCGGCGCTTGCCGCTAACGGGGGAACATGGGGCGACACTGCTGCACTGGTGACCAATGTAAGTTGGTGTGTTCAAACTCAGACTGTTTCTGTACCTTGTTCATTGCAGGGCTCACCTGTGCAGTGAAACCCACATCCCTTGGTGCCTGCAGGTCCGCAATTTCCCCAGCAGCCGCGGTAGCGTAGTTGGCATCCTGAAGGTAGGCTTAGAGGTGTTGTTGCAGCGACATGCAGTTACAGCCCCATTCACGCAACAACACCATCCACGCTCCCTGCTGCGCAGGCCAGCATCGGACTGTCAGGCACGGGAATGCAGAGCCTCACTGCTGCAGCTGCAGCGGTGCGCTGCTTGTATGCCTTTGCTTGACGCTTCGCTGCGCTGTGCTGCAGGCTCTCTGTTTGCTGCTGTCTACTCGGGGCTGTACGCGCCAGACAAGGAGTCCTTCCTACTGTTCCTGGCGCTGGCTCCTGTGGGCATGGGCCTGCTCGCCCTTCCCTTCATCAACCATTGCTCCTTTGTCCAGCAGTCGGAGCTGGAGGCCGGCCAGCATGTGTTCACATCAGGTGTGTGGGCATAGCCTGCTCCGCTGCCCAGCTGCCGAGGCTTCCTTTGCCAGCGCATGCCGCTCCATGGCACATTCATGCAGCACTCCGGAGCCTGGCTAGCCCGCGCCCGCTCCTCCCACATGCAAGTGCAGAGGGCCGCTTCATCTTCTCCTTGCAAGCTCTCGGCACCCTCGCGGTGTACCTGATTGTCAGCGCCACGGTGGCCTCGCTGTACCCGCTGACGCGCGCCGTGCACCTCACCGTCATGGCAGGCGCCTTTGTGCTGCTGCTGCCCCTGCTGCTCATCCCGGTGGGCAGCGGCGGGATACTGTCCAAGAAGGCGGAGGTTGACTACACTCACCTCAGCCACTATCAGGACGAGGAGGAGGAGCAGGGAGAGGAGGAGGAGCAGGCGGTGGCCTCCGCACGAACAAACGACGAGAGCAGCGGCAGCGGCCCAGACAAGCTGGGCCTGACGCAGCCGCTGCTGGAGCCAGCCGTCATGGGCATGGAGCGCCATGCGGCGGCAGCGTTGGGCAGCCACCAGGGGGGCACAGTGGATGCCATCAATGGTCGTGCGGCAGGGCAGGTGGCGGCAGCCACGGACCCAGCCTCATCCCGCCCAGTCCCAGAGATGTCGCCTGGGGACTGCCTTCGGTCCAAGTCGTTCTGGCTGCTCTTCCTGATCCTCGTGATTGGGCTGGGCTCAGGTGGGCGGCCTGCGCATGCTGGGGCTACTCGCCAGCCCCGGGCTGCCTTCTCAAGAGCACCATGGTGTGTGCACTGTAGGCCTGACCCTCCTCAACAATCTCGCACAGGTTGTGAAGGCCTTGACCGGTGGGGCACCAGCGACAGAGGCCACCCCGATGCTCGTGTCTGCATTCAGCGTCTCCAACTGCGCTGGTAAGGCTGCACAACACTTCCGTGCCTTTGCCAGCACCCCTTGATGCGAGCAGGCTGCAGCAAGCCTCTGCGCCCCGTCCTGTGCCTGCGCCTGCAGGAAGAATGTCGTTTGGCTACGTCCCTGAGCGGCTGCTGCATGGCAGCGGCACCCCCCGCCTACTCTTTCTGCCGATTGTCTCTGGCCTGATGGCTGCCACCTGCCTAGGGCTGGCGTTTGGAGGCATAGGAATGCTGTACCCACTGGCGGCGATGGCTGGCTTTGCCTTTGGTGAGGAGCGGGCGCCGCTGCGCTGTTCTCTGGCCTTGGGTGCGCTCTGGGGCTGCCTGCTCTACAGATGCCTAGCGTGTTGCACGCACTCATCCCGCAGGCGGGCACTGGTCACTGTTCCCATCCCTAGTTAGTGAGCTGTTCGGGCTCACGCGGTTTGCAGGCAAGTGCTCTGCAAAGCACGCTGCCCTTGCCTGCTGCTGCCCATGGTATGCCACTTGCCATCTGATCAGCCTCAGCCCCGCCTGGCATGCAGCAAACTACACCATGATGCAGCTGGCACCCGCCGTTGGAAGCTTTGGGCTGGCCATGGGGCTCAGCGGCTATCTGTATGAGGTGCGCGCTGTGGTTTATGTTCAAATAAAATAAACATACAGCATGCATCCACTGCCCGCCTGCAATCCTGGTCCCTTTTGCAGCGCGCGTTAGCCAGGCACGGCATGGGCGAGAACACATGCGTGGGGCAAGACTGCTTCCAGCTGACTTTCCTCATCCTCTCAGGCCTGGGTGTTGTGGCCACGGGGTGCTCTGTGCTGCTGTACGAGCGCAAGAAGGGGATCTATGCATGGCATGCCCACGAACTGCACACATATGATGAGGAGGTGCAGCGGGAGGAGGGGCCCACTCCAGTTCGCAGCGTGTCACTGTGAGCGGCCCGCGCCAGGCAGCACCTACCTCCATTTGTGACCCCATCCTTAGCGAGCATTGTTACATTCTTCTTTCAAGATTCTTTAGCATGCATTGCATTCAATTAGCTTGTCAAGCCTTGTTACTAGGTGTTTACCACATAGTGCACGGAGCAGCGATAGGGATCAGTGCGCAGGGTCGCTCTGCATGGCTGTGGAAGTCGTTGCTGTGAGCCAGCGCTGCCAAAAATCGGAAACGTGGGCAGTAAAGTCAACGTTGCCTCCTGCAATGCAGAGGAACCCACATCAATACTCCAGCGATGAGCAGCGTCCCGGCATTGACACTGGCTGCCAGCCAGCAAGGACAGCCCAGGCTGGGCCTGGCTTACCGCACAAGATGACGCCCACATGCTTTAAATCCGGGTGCCTGCTGCTCAGCTGGCTGCCCAGCGCCGCTGCCACGCCCGCTGCTCCTGACGGCTCCACAATCACCTGCAGGCCGAGGGCAAACGCCACCAGCATCACCCATGCTCAGCCAGCCACACGCTGCCTTGCACCCCACACCTCCACCTGCCGCGCACCTTCATCCTCTCCATCACCAGCTGCATGGCCGCCACAACCTCCTCCTCAGTCACCGTCAGCACGTCATCCACAAGCCTGCTCACAATGGGCCAGGTCAGCGACCCCAGCCGTGCCTCCAGCCCGTCACAGATGGTGACCGGCTTGGGCAGCTGCAGCAGCAACGCAGGCACGGGCATTACGCTACAGCTGGCCCAGGTCATGCAGCAAAAAGGGCACATGCAGCGCTGCTTCACCAGCACCTGCAGCACCACTGGGCCTTGGCCCCCCACCTGCACCAGCTCGCCTGCCGCCTTTGATGCCGACACATCGGCTGCCGCGTTGCGCCCCACCGGCTCCGCCGCCAGGATTTTTATGCAGGGCTTGATTGCCTTGGCTGCCACCGCTATGCCGCTGATCATGCCGCCGCCTGAGACAGGGACGATGATGGCGTCCAGCTGCGGCACCTGCTCCAAGAACTCCAGCGCAATGGTGCCTTGCCCAGAAATCACGGCGGGGTGGTTGTAGGGAGGTACAAATGTGGCCCCCGTGTCTCTCTGGATGGCCGCGCAGGCTGCCTCGCGCGCATCGATGCTGGCCTCGCACACAATCGGTTCCACGCCATAGCTGCGGATGGCGGCGCGCTTGATCTCAGGCGTGTTGGCCGGCACCACGACGTGGGCGGTGATGCCTCGCAGCTGTGCGGCCAAGGCCACGGCCGCGCCGTGGTTGCCGCTGCTGTGGGTCACCACCCCCCGCGCCGCCTCCTCGTCGGTCAGGGAAAAGATGGCGTTGACTGCGCCCTGCACCGCATCGGCGTCACTGCGTTGTTGCTGCTGCTGTCGCACCAGTACGGGCCTGGCTCGCCATCCTAAGCGCAACCCAGCAGGCCATCACCCTGAATTTGAAGGCGCCGATGCGCTGAAAGATTTCAGCCTTGAAATGGAGAGAACGACCGCTCAGCGCATCCAGGGTGCGCGACGTGAGCACCTTCAAGAAGAAGAAGAAGTGTGACACACGTGGTTGACTCGGGGGGGGGATGCGCCGACTAGTAAGGGCGGTGTTGGGGCGCGCTGTCTTCCACCGCACCAGACAGCTCAGGATGAGCAGGGCAAGAGCACGTGCTTACCGGGGTTCTCTTTGCATGTGGGGCAATGACTGCTGCCGCGGCCTGCACGTCTTGCAGGGAAACTGCAAGGGGCTCCTCCCCCATTCGTCCAAGCACCGCCGATGCGCCCTGCCGCCAGTGCCGCCACTGTCGCCGCTGCCGCCGCCTCCCGCGTACCGATCGTCGCCTCCTGCCTCAGGTATCGCCAGCAAGGTACAGGGCTGCAGAGGAGGGAGATGGGCACTCCCCGGCAAGATGGAGAGGTGGGTCTCTACCTTATGGCTGTGGGGTTGCAAGCAGGGAATACAGAGGATGGAGAAGCTGTTGAGGGAAAGGCAGAACGGTATGAAAGCCAGCACGCGAATGACACGCAAGCTCGCAGCCATGCTAGCCACATGCTCCCACTCTCCCATGGTAAAGCACAGTTTACTCGTGCTTGTGCCCGCCATCTACTGACACGCGCCGGCGCGTCTGCCTCCTCCCGCCGCACAATGCAGCGACTCCATTGCAACAGCACAGGGCGCTGAGGAGGCGTCATGATCGTGGTCAGCATGTCGACTACCACCCTCGCGGGGCTTAGGGCAAGGGCACTGGCGCTGCCGCTGCCGCCGCTGCCGCCATGGCAACGTCGCCGCTGCGACGCACACGCTACTGCCACCCCGGCTGAGGTGCACAGGCCACCACCTCCAACAGCTGAGCTTAGACGCAAGGGAACCAGCCCCGCAGGTGTGGGCATGCTGCGTTGCCGCTGCTGCTGCAGCGGCCACCCTCTCCTCGCCCCCTCCTGGGCCTGGTTTGTGAGTCGGGCATTTCCCATGTCTACTGCAGGACGCAAAGCTGGGCAGGACGGCAAGCTGCAGGATGACAAGCTGCTGGAATCCGTAAGGCAATTGCTGGAGCGCGGCAGGCCTGAGGTGGCGATCCACCTGCTGCAAGACGAGTGCCTGCAGGACCCGGCCCTGAGGCGCGTGCCTGCCTGGCTGCGGCTTCTGCTTGAGGGTTGCGACTCGAGCGGCTGTGCGGCTGCCTTAGCCTGGCAGCGCTCGACATGTGCCTGCCCTCCTGCCTGTCCCTTGCCCTGACTGGCTGCATGCGCGCCCCGCTACACCACACCTGCCCCTGCTCGGTTGCAGCAAGGAGCTCATCCTGCAGCTGATCGGGACGGTTAACACAGCGGCGGCGCTGGAGGCCCTGCCCCTGGTGGCCACCAGCCCCGACATGTGCGCCGCGGCCATCCGCGCCCTCACGGAGCGGCGCAGCCTGAGGGGGGTGCACGCCATGCTGCACCACGCCCGCAGCACGCGCGCAGCGCAGGGGCTGGAGGGCCGCGAGGTGTGGCGAGCGGCGATTGTGGCCTTCGGCAAGCTGAGGCGGCTGCAGGATGCGCGGCAGGCGTTTGTGGGCATGCGTGCGGCGGGGGCGTGGGGCGTGGAGGACACCGCCACCGTCAACCTGCTGCTCAACTCGCTGGCCTGGGACATCAAGCTGCAGTTCGTCAGGTGGGCCTGCTGCTGCCCAAGTTGAGCAGCTCGCCAGCTGGGAGCAGGCAGCGGGTCAGGTGGTGGACGTGCGGCTGGCCGAGCTCGTCGTTGCACCAACCTGCCTGCCTGCACGGCTGCCGCCGCCGCCGCAGGTGCAACCAGCTGCGCAAGGAGGGGGTGGTGCCGGACGCGTCCACCTTCAACACGCTGCTCAAGGCGTGCATGCGGGGGCGGGACGTGCGGCGAGCTGAGCTGGCGCTGAGCTGGATGCGGGAGGACGGCGTGCCGCCCGACTCCGTCACCTACAACACGCTCATCAAGGTGATTGTTTCGGGGGCGGGTGGGGCTGGAGTGAGGTGGGCTGGTGGGCTGCACTTGTGGGAGCACACGTGGGGGCAAGCACAGGGCTGCTGCTGCTGCTGATGCTGGTGGTGGTGCCCACCCGCGCCTGCTCTCCATCGGTCCCTCCCCTCCACACAGGTGTTCTCGTACGCCAAGGATTTTGAGCGCGTGCTGGCTGTGTGGAAGCAGATGCAAGCAGCCGGCTTTGCGCCCACCGCCAGGCTCTGGGGCAGCCTGCTGATGGCGTGCAGCGCGGCGGGGCAGATGGAGCAGGCAGCCATCTTTTGGTGGGAGATGAAGCAGCTGCACAGCCAGGGCAACGGCGGCGTGCTGACCACCGACAATGTGTGCGCCATGATGACCGCATGCAACGATGCGGGGCAGGTGCGTGGTGGGGTGATTGGCGTGGGGGTGTGCGGCCCACGGAGCGCAGTCAGGCAGCGGCAACGGAAGCTGAGGAGCGCACGCAGCCTGCTGCCAAGCCGCCAGCGGTCTCCACAGTCCGGCTCTGCTCTGCCAGCCGCACCGACCTGCTCGCCGCCGCCGCCGCCGCGTGCAGTATGAGCGCGCCCTGACGGCGTTTGAGGAGGCCAAGGCCCTGGGCGTGCCCATGGACACACGCGCCTACAACATCGCCCTGCGCGCCTGCCACACGCCCGGCAAGACAATGCGCCAGGAGCAGCTGCTGCAGGCCTTTGCGCTGTATGACGAGCTGAAGCAGCGCGGCCTGCCGCCCGACACCTTCACCTTTGGCACCCTCTTCGCCCTCTGCGCCGCCGCGCGCCAAGGGCACTGCGCGATGCAGGCAAGTGGTGCTGCCGCCGGTTGCGCGAGAACTTTCGGTCGGGCTCCTCGTGCATCTGGCTTGAAGCCTGGCCAGCGCCATGGACCCCTGCACACTGCCTCCCGCCTCGATTCCGCTACCCCAGCCCGCCCCAGCCCTCTACCCACACCCACACCCGCGCCACTCTCCTTCCCGCAGCTGTACGATGAGATGATGGAGCTCAAGGTGCAGGAGAATGTGGTGGCCATGACGGCGCTGATCAAGGCGGTGGGCTGCACACCCGGCATGGCCGCAGAGTGCAGCCGCCTGTTCAAGCGCATGAGCTATGGCCCCGCCAGGTGGGGCGCACTGGGCAGCGGCACGCCAGCAGCAGCCCTCCCTGGCTGGCTGGCTGGCTGGCTCACGCCCGCAATCCCCGGCCCTGGCGCGCTGCAGGGTGAAGCCCAACCAGGCCACATTCCGCACCGTGATCGCGGCGCTGCGCGAGCAGGGGGAGCTGGCGGAGGCGCTGCGCGTGTACCAGGGCATGCGCCGCCTGTACCCCGCAGACAACAGCGAGTTTGAGGGGCTGACGGCGGTGGCAGGTGGGGGAGGGGGCGGGGGGTGGGGGGCTGCCCTGCGCTGCGCCGGGGCCTGTGTGCGCAGCGTGGTTGTGCGGCAGGAGGCCGGCCTGTTGGCTTTCGCCTTTGGAGGGCACGGTGGCCCGACACCCCGCCCCACCCCTGCCACCCCACCCACCCCGCCCCTGCCTGCAGCGGAGCGCGCCTTCTCCTCCGAGGACGCCGACCTGCGGTCCGTGGTGGCCGCCGTCTGCCACATCACCTCCTCCCAGAGCGTGGACCTGCACGGCATGAGCGTGCTGGAGGCGCGGGCCGCAGTGCTGTGCATCCTGGCCATGCTGCAGCAGCAGTACCGCGACAGCGGTACCATCGCCCACGACGTCACCATCATCACCGGGCGCGGCAGGGGCAGCGAGGGCGGCGAGCCCGTGGTGCGCAACGAGGTGGCGCGCCTGCTGGAGGCGCTGTTCCTGGCGCTGCCGGCGCCCGCGCCCGGCGACAACGCGGGCCGCATTGTCATCCCGCAGCAGCTGCTGTGCGAGGCAATGGCTAGAAAGACGGCGCTGCGGGTGGCGCAGCACAAGCTGCAGCTGCCGCCGCCGCAGTCGCTGCTGCACCTGCACCCGCGCTACCAGCAGCAGCAGCAGCAGCAGCAGGTGCCGCCATCACCTGGTGCGGGCTCTGGCGACACCACACCGCCCTGAGGACCTGTCTGCTTTGTGTATTGCACGCATTCTTTTCCCTCCATTCTGCAGTGCCTTCCATTATGTTTCTCTCCGTCAGAATCAGCACTCCCGCAGTTTTTGCAACTATCCACAACCACACCCTGTTCTTTAAGTTGGATCAAGTTGCTGTGGGCAGGGCCAGAGCTCACCCCGCCACTCTTGCTGGCTGCTGCACTGGCTGCCACACCAGCGTGCGGCCCTTGAGTCCATTGACAAAGTCCTTGGCAGCCATGACCCGCTTGCCGGGGGCTTGCAGCTCCAGGACCTGTGGGCAGCGGTGCGAGGTGGGAGCGGGGAGGCGGGCGGGCATGAAACAGACTGTCACGCCGTCGAGCGCCTCGTGTGCATTGCATGCCGCTGTGCACCACCGTATTGCCTGGGGTCCTACAGCTCTACCACCAGCCTGCCCAACCTCCCACCTGCAACACACTGCCGTCGCCGCATCGGATGAACAGCGCATCTCGCCCCACCGCCACCTCCCGCTCGCTGCTGCCGCTCCACTCTGACGGCTGCGCCACCCGCGTGCGCACTATCTTGAGCTCGACGTGTCCCGCGTCGCCGCCGCCGCCAGCGTCGCGCTGCTGGAAGGTGGCAAAGGTGCCGGGCCAGCCCGCAAAGCCGCGCACCTTATTGTGGCACGCCTGGGCTGGCTGGCTGAAATCCAGCACCGCCTCGTGGCGCTGCAGCTTGGCGGCATGCGTGGCGGCCGCCTCGTCCTGCGGCTGAGCCGCCAGCTGGCCCATGCCCGCCCACACTGCCTCCAGGTTGTCCACCAGCAGGTCGGTGCCCAGCTCAAACAGCCGGTTGAGCAGCTCAGGGGCCTGGATGTCGGGGTCCACCTGCGGAGGCGGCGGCAGGGCCAGCAGGGGGCGCCAACAACAGCCGGGTGTTGGGCACAAGCCGGGCGGTGCGCCAGCTCTATCGCCGAGCAGTGGGGGCAAGGCAGCGTGGCCACACCCGCTCTGCTCACCGGCATCTTCTGCTGAGCCAGGATGGGCCCCGCATCCATGGCCCGCACTGTGTACAGCACGGTGACCCCCGTGATGGGCACGCCGTCCTGCAGCGAGCGCTGCACTGGCGCGGCGCCGCGGTAGCGTGGCAGCAGCGAGGGGTGGATGTTGAGGGTGCCGTGGGGCGGGACGGCCAGGAAGGAGGAGGGGAGGTAGTTGCCGTACGCCGCCGTGACGCACAGGTCGGGTGCCAGCTGGCGCAGCGCCGCCAGGAACTCCGCGTCGCCCGGCCGCTCGGGTGCCAGGATGGCGCCCGCCGGCAGCCCCGCCTCCTCTGCCAGCACCTGCACGGGCGAGGGCTGCGGAACCTTGCGGTTGCCGCGCCCCGTGGGCCGCGGCGGCTGCGTCACCACCGCCGCGACCTCGAAGCTGGCGTCGGGCTGCGCTGCGGCGGCCAGAAGGCGCTTGAGCACCAGCGCTGCCACCTGCGGCGTGGACATGGCTAGGAGGGGCAGTTTGCAGGCCTGAGTATGACGGGCTGCACAAACGTGTGCATGGCCGCCCTCTCAGTCAAGCAGCAGACCCCATGCATCCAACCACTCACCTCTGGCGTGCCGCAAAACACCACCCGCTTCTTGTCTCCTGCGGTCTGCCCTGCTGCCGCGTCCGATGCACTGCTGCTGCTGGCGCACCGGACCGTGCCCAGGCGGGCAGCGGCGGCGGCACCGCTGCCGCCACCTGCACTGCTGGCGGGCCTCAGCTTGAGCATCATCCCCGTGACTTCCGGGGCATGCCTTGATAGCGAGGGCACCACCTGGGGCAGTAGGCGAGAGAGGAGCTTACAACCCCGACATGTTGCAAGGCACGCCATACGAGCCAGTTGCGATCTCAGCACATGCAACAACACCCCCCGGTTTGGGAAATCTGGCCAGGCATGCGTGCCGACTGGTGCAAGCGCGACAAACGCCCGTTTTCTTCCCCAGCTTTCCAACGAGAAAAACTTGCAGTGCCAGGGCTTGATCGGTCCTGACAGGCTTCCCCGTTGATCCAGCCAGCAAGGCGCACCCGGAGGGCCGCAGGGGCGCTTGCTGGAGCGTTCACAGCCAACCCCCAGCTCTGTCGGTGCACCACTATGGTGAGGGGCGGCAGGCCTGGCGTGTCGCTCATGGTCAGGCAGGCGGGCAGCCGGTGTGAACGGGCAGGGGTGGGAGCGAGCGGCCGGTTGATCGTGCCCCGCCACTGGGCCCGCTGTCGCTGCAGGCGTCCACCGCACAGAACACCCTGGAGCCGCTGCGGGCGGGAGGCGACAGCAAAGCCAAGGATGAGGACATGGAGGAAGAGCGTGAGTGATCGCCGCCGCCGACGCACCCCTCCGTTGGACTGCACACCGCACCCTGCTCCTGGCCCGCTGCTTGCTTCTCTAAACATGATTGCCACCCACCCTGCCTCCGCAGTGGAGTATTCGCCCTTCTACGGCATCGAGAAGGGCGCGGTGCTGCAGGAGGCGCGCTGCTTCAATGACTCGCACGTCGACCCGCGACGTTGCCAGCAAGTCATCACAAAGCTGCTCTACCTGCTCACCCAGGGCGAGAGCTTCACCAAGGTGTGTTGCGGGAAGTTCTGGCTGCTGGGTGGAGTGGGGACCGTGCTCAAGATGCAGGCCACGGCCTGGATGTCATGTACACACAAGTTGCAGCGGTAGTGTTACTCTGTGCGCATGTCCCGGTGTGTTCTGCTCCCTTCTTGCTGCAAGCACTGCGGCTGACCCGCATAGCTGCTGGCATGCAATGTGCACTGCCCATGGTGTACCCCTGCCTGCCCGCCTGCCCTCCTGCCACAGGCGGAGGCCTCCGAGGTCTTCTTCTCGGTGACCAAGCTGTTCCAGCACAAGGATGTGCACCTGCGCCGCATGGTGTACCTGGTCATCAAGGAGATCATCCCCTCCTCTGATGAGGTCATCATCATCACCAGGTGCGCAGGCCCTGGAGGCTGTGTGCTGCTGCAGGGGAGCTAGCACGGCTGCTACCGACGTCGGGGTGTGGTCGGCTCCTGCCTCCCTCCCCGCTGTCCTTCACGAGTGTTCCCCCGCCCCTGCCACCCCTGCCGCAGCTCCCTGATGAAGGACATGAACAGCAAGAACGATCTGTACCGCGCCAACGCCATCCGCGTGCTGTGCCGCATCATCGACTCCCAGATGCTGCTCCAGATCGAGCGCTACCTGAAGCAGGCGGTGGTGGACAAGAGCGCGGTGGTGGCCAGCGCGGTGCTGGCGGGGGCCATCCACCTGGCGGGGGCAAACAGCGAGGTGATCAAGCGGTGGAGCAACGAGGTGCAGGAGGCCATCAACTCCAGGCACCCCATGGTGCAGTTCCAGGCGGTGGCACTGATGCACGCGCTGCGCGCCAACGACCGCCTGGCCGTCAGCAAGCTGGTCACGCAGCTGACGCGCAGCAACGTGCGGTCGCCCATGGGGCAGTGCCTGCTGGTGCGCTACGTGGCGCAGGTGAGGAAGCCAAAGGGAGCTGGGGTGCTGCTGCGGCACTGGTGGCATGCGGCTAGTGCATCGATGCATTCAGCGGGCACTGCTGCATCCGCCTGCCGCCGCCTGGGTGGGTCGCGGCAAGCAAGCCGTGGTGCCCGGTCCTGCGCCACGCGTGTGTCCGTCTGCAGGTGATTGCGGAGAGCCAGCCGGGGGTGGGCAACGAGGTGCGCCCCTTCTACGACTTCCTGGAGAGCTGCCTGCGCCACAAGAGCGAGGTGGTGATCTTTGAGGCGGCGCGCGCCATCTGCAACATGCGGGACGTCACCACCCGCGAGCTCACCCCCGCCGTCACCGTGCTCCAGCTCTTCCTCTCCTCCTCCAAGCCCGTGCTGCGCTTTGTGGCCGTGCGCACGCTCAACAAGGTGCGGCTGGCCTCGGCTGGCTGCGGCAGCCGTGCTTTCCATGCGGCAGAGCCAGGCCACAACACCGTGACGGCCCGGTGCCCCAATCGCCGGCGTATGCCACTGCTGCGCAGCCGCATTTGACAACAGCTCGCCGCTCATCTGTGCATCGGTGTGCCCATGCCTGCCTTGCCCTGCCCGGCTGCAGGTGGCCATGTCCCACCCCATGGCGGTCACCAACTGCAACATCGACATGGAGTCGCTCATCGCAGACCCCAACCGCAGCATCGCCACGCTGGTGAGGCAGGCGGCCGGGGAACAGGCACCCAAAGCCGGTTGGGTGGCATTGTGGCAACACAGGGGTGCGGCCCAGGCCTTGCCAGGAAGCGGAGGAGTGCAAACGGGTGCATGCCGACTGCACCCTGCGCTGCCTACCCCCGGCCCTGCGCCCCCCCGCAGGCCATCACCACGCTGCTCAAGACGGGCAACGAGTCGTCCATCGACCGCCTGCTCAAGCAGATTGGCGGGTTCATGAGCGAGATTGCGGACGAGTTCAAGGTGGTGGTGGTGGAGGCTATCAAGGCGCTGTGCCTCAAGTTCCCGCAGGTGCGCTGCGGGTGTTGGTGGGGTGTCGCGCGCCTGGGATCGGATGGGAGAGTGAGAGGTAGAGGTGGGGTGAGCCCAGCATGTGCTTTGTGGGGCATGGGTCTGCTGCGAACAACGACACGCCCCCTCCCACATACCGTTCGCCGCCTTGTGTACCGCAGAAGTACCGCGGCCTCATGAACTTCCTGTCCAACGTGCTGCGCGAGGATGGCGGGTTTGAGTACAAGAAGGCCATCGTGGATGCCATCCTGGTGAGCCGCGCACCCGGCTGCGCCATGCCCGGCACCCGCACTGCGCTGGTGCTGGCCTGCCATTCCTGCGTGGCCCTGCGCTGCCCCGGATGTGTGGGTCACCTCTGTGCCCCTGGCGCCTCCCCCCCTGCAGGTCCTCATCCGCGACATCCCCGAGGCGAAGGAGATGGGCCTGGCCCAGCTGTGCGAGTTCATCGAGGACTGCGAGTTCACCTTTCTGTCGGTGCAGATCCTGCATCTCATGGGCGAGGAGGGGCCGCGCACCAAGGACCCCGGTGGGTGCTCGCTGGCGGCGGCAGCAGCAGCAGGGTGGGAGGAGGGGAGGCCGGAACTTGAGCGCTGGCCTGTGGGGGGGGCGCTGCATCTGGCCCGGCCTGGCCTGGCTTGGCCTCCTCGATGCAAACATGCAGCGCATGGGATGCTTCGCATGGGGTGCTGCGCATGGGCTGGCACCGGCTCCTTGCTCCCTCCCTGATCCCATCTCCTCCGTCACCCTGCAGCGCGCTACATCCGCTACATCTACAACCGCGTGATTCTGGAGAACGCGACCGTGCGCGCGGCGGCGCTGTCCTCGCTGGCCCGCTTTGGCGCGCACTGCCCCGACCTGCGCGACCGCATCCTCATGCTCATCAAGCGCGCCCTGTACGACAACGACGACGAGGCGAGCGCAGGGCCGGGGGGGAACGGGGTATCATCGGAGGCAGGCCAGAGCGACGGGGCGGCTGCAATGTGGTGTTGGCGCGGCCAACAGCAGGCTTCGCGCAAGGCCGGCGCTTGCTGGCCCGCTCCGGCTGCTCCCGCAGCGCTGCTGACCCCCGCACCTCCCTCCCCGCCCGCCTCCGTGCCGCGCAGGTGCGGGACCGCGCCACGCTGTACCTGTACCAGCTGCAGGAGGCACCGGAGGGCCCTGAGAGCGTGGACCCTCACTGGCGCATCCCCGCCAAGGGCCTGGAGGCGGCGCTGCAGGCGTACCTGGCCAGCCCAGACCAGGAGGAGCCGTTTGATCTGGTGAGGGGAGCGGGCAGAGGGCGCCGGCGGGTGGCAGCAAGCTGGAGTAGGGAGGCTGGACAGCCTGGTACAGGGCTCCCTGGCCTGACCCCTGCCCCGCGCCGCATCCCCCTTCCCTGTGTCGCCTGCAGTCCAGCGTGCCCGAGGTGGTGGCTCCCTCGCCCGCCAAGGCCAAGGCCAAGCCGCAGGGGCTGGCTGCCGCGGTGGCTGCGGGCCTCAGCAACGTGTCGGGCCCCGAGACGCAGGCAGACGAGTATGCCGACATGCTCAAGGCGGTGCCGCAGCTGGCGGCGCTGGGCCCGGTGTTCAAGACCTGCTCGCCGGTGCAGGTGCGCGCGCGAGGAGGGAGGGCAGGCGGCGGGGCCTGGCGGGCTGGCCTGGCTGGCCAGCTGGATGCGCGCTGTCGGCTGGGAGGGCATCGGTGTAGGGTCACAACCCCTGCCAGCAGTGCCACCAATCCCCTGCCTTGTGTGTGCCTGCCCGCCTGCCCGCCTGCCACCTCTGCCTGCAGCTGACGGAGGAGGAGACCGAGTACAAGGTGGTGTGTGTGCGGCACGTGCTGGAGGGCCACATCGTGTTCCAGTTCAACTGCACCAACACGGTGCGGGAGCAGGTGCTGGAGGATGTCAGCGTCACCATGGACCTGGCCGACGCGGTGAGTGGCGCCAGGGGGGCTGGGTAGCTGGGGGGCTGGACGGGGCGCGGCGGCAGGCATTGCGGCGGCGGCGGCGGTCGTCGTCAGCTGCACGGCATCCAGCCCTCCTCCTGTCACCAGTATGGGGTGTGCCACCCAGCGCCGGCGCCTGCCTCGCCTCTCGCTGACGCTTGTGCTCCACACTGCTGCCCGCACGCCCCGCACGCCATCCGTGCCCTGCAGGAGGAGTTCAGCGAGGAGGCGGTGCTGCCGCTCAAGGTGATGCCCGGGGTGGAGGAGGGGCCTGGGCAGACGTACGTGGTGCTGGCGCGCCCGCCCGGCTCCATGGCGCTGGGCCGCTTCCTCAACATCCTGCGCTTCCGCATCAAGGAGATCGACCCAACCACCGGTGAGGCCCGCTGTGATGCTGTCGGCGTGGACAAACAGGAAACAATTGATCGGCTGGGCTGTGCATGCATGGTGCATGCATGGCACACCGGCTCTTGACCCGTCCGCACGCACACACCCCAACCCTGGTCCCCTGGCCTCCCTGCTGCCTCCCCTCCCCTGCCTGCAGGCGAGGCTGAGGAGGAGGGGTACGAGGATGAGTACCAGCTGGAGGATGTGGAGGTGGCCGCCGCCGACTACATCAAGCCCGCCTTTGCGCCCAACTTCCGCGCCGGCTGGGACGCGCTGCCCGAGGAGAGCGAGATGGTGGACGACTACGGCATCGGGCAGAGAGACTCGCTGCAGGTGGGCCGGGGCTGGCTGCTGGGGCAGGGAGCGGTGGGCAGAGCGGTGGTGGAGGGGGCCAGGGGATGCGTTGCGGCAGGGTGGGGCAGCGCCTTGGTGGGGCCAGGTTGGTGATTACAACGAGGCAATCTGTTGCGAGTGGCACGTTGAACTGCGTGCCTGTGGCCCTTGCCCTGCAGGACGCGGTGGAGGCTGTGGGGCGCATCCTGGGCATGCAGGCGTGCGAGGGGACGGACGCGGTGCCGCCCAACGCGCGCAGCCACACGCTGCTGCTGTCGGGCATCGTGGTGGGCGATGTGCAGGTGCTGGTGCGGCTCAGCTTTGGCATCGATGCGCAGCGGAATGTGGCCATGAAGCTGGCGGTGCGCAGCGAGTCGGCGGATGTGTCGGAGGCGATACACGCCATCATCCAGGAAGCGTAGCGGCAGCAGGTGGCGCCTGCCCCTAGGGTTGGCCGACAACCGCTTCTTAGTCGCCCCTCCGCGCGCCCCCCACTGTAGAACTGCTGCCCCTTTGCCTTTTTGTTCTCTTTGCAATTTGCAAACTCCCTTTCAAGCTCCTGGCTGCGACTGTAACATTGCTGCCATTGTGATCAGTCGCTAGAAGAAGATCTGGCTTCAGCGTCGAGAGCACGCTCAGCAAGCAGAGATGTGCTGCGTGGTGGGCTGCTGATCCACCACTTGCTGCTGCTGCTTCGCTTGCTGCTGCTCCTGCTGCTCGTGCCGCTGCTCTCCCCACTGCCGCTGCTTCTGCTGCTTCTGCGCCGCCACCAGCCGCTCCACCTCTGCCATCGACTGCTGCACCCGCTGCAGGCGGGACGTCAGCTCCTCCAGCTCACGCTGCACATCAGCCACCCCCGCCAGGTTGGCCTGCGCCGCCAGCATTTTTCGGCACGATTCCGCCGCCCGCTGCTGCACCCACTCTGCCTGCTGCTCCAACTTGGGTATCCCCGCATTCAGCTTCTCCTGCACCGAGCGTGATTGCAAAGAAGTTGAGCCAGCGATGCTCCACCGTGCGGTCAGGTAGGGAACCGGCGGCCTCCCCAAGCCACCCACCTGCTGCTCCACAATCCTTCTGCAATGCCAGCGGGTGAAACGCTGGTAATCGGCCACCAGCTGCTGCAGCGGCTCTGCACTTAGGTGGGGGAGGGGGGCGCCTGCGCCTGCAGGGAAGCGTCGCATCAAACCGTAGTTATTGTTTTTGTTGTGGGCACCCTGCTTGAGCATCCGTCGATTGCCTGCAGAAACTACTCACTGGTGCTGGCGCCTGCAGCGGACGAGCCCCCAAGAGTCTTGGCCCATATACTGCTGGGCTCTGCCACACTGTCGGGCAGGATGGGAAGCGACTGCAGGGCAGGGGCCAAGGCAGGGAGGGGAGCGGTTGCGGTGCGGTGGCGACGGGTACCATTGTGCTGCCTGGGGTCGGCGGCAGGCGTATGGCGGCTGCTACTCACGTGCTGCAGCTCGGCCAGCTGCCGCAAGTAGGCTTCGTCGTCTTGCTGAGGACCAATTGCTCCAGTTTGCTGCACAGTGATGACGCCGCCAGGCTCCCCCTCACTGCTCAGCGATGCACCCATGGCTTCCAAAGTGTTTACAAGAGCCCCGTGAGGATCCTCCTTCATGCATGTGTGTCCAGCTGGGCGGCCAGGACCCAAACATGCGCGGCAGGGGCATCACTAATCTTCCTGCGTAATCAATCATCCTCCTGCGTAATTGGCAACGATGCTGGCACTGGGCAGGCAACTGGGGCAGCTTGGACAGCTCGGCCGTTCGCTGCAGCCCGAGCGTGCGCTGCCGCTGCTCCTGAGCACCCTCCAGCAGCTGCGGCAGGCGCAGGAAGACAGGCCATATAGCTCCGCGCGGCGGCAGGCCGCCGCTGCCGCAGAAGTGACAGGCGGCAGCGCCCTCACCGACGAGCCGGAGCCGGTGCTGCGTGTGCCCGACCTGAGCACGATCAGCGCACTGAACCCGCGGCTGCATGAAATCATTCTGCAGCACCAGGCCCTGCAAAAGTGAGCGGCGGGCCTGCATGCTGCCTTGTTGACCGCCGTGCGGCTGCCTTCTTGCGCCGAGCCTGCCTGCCCCGCCCTGCACTGCTCCATGCGCGCTCCCCTGCTCCCTTGCAGGAGTGCCAGCGCGGTGGACACAATGTTGGCCGCCCTGCAGGCCGCCAGCCCAGCCATCAAGCAGCCGCAGCGCCTGAACAAAACCGCCTTCCGGGCGCTACGAGTTGACCAGCTGCGCGGCCTGCTGGAGCAGCTGGGGGCAGACACACGCGGCACCAAGGAGGTGCTGGTGCAGCGCCTGCTGGACATAGGCAGCGGAGAGCAGGAGCGGCAGCAGGAGCAGCATGCGGCGGCGGTGTCGCGGGCGGGAGCGGCCATGAAGGAGGGGTGAGTGCGCCCCGATGCATTGCCGTGCCGCTCGCCCTTCCTTCACGGTGATCACGTGTGCAAGGAACCAGCCAGTGTGAGTGTTTCCTTCCCTGCACCTTCACCCCGGCAATCCGGTGTTCTGCTGCCTGCAGGGTGGTCAGCCGACGACAGATTGCAGCGCAGGCAGTGGTGGCGGAGCGGCTGGCAGCGGCGGCGGAGCGGGGCGGGTATGGCGTGCCAGAGGCCAGCCTGCGGGAGAGCCACCGCCAGATGGTGCAGCAGTCGGGGTATGCCCAGATCTTTCGGCCGCAGGAGGTGGCCGACATCCTGGCAGGTGGGCTCCCCAGCCCAGCGCCTGCTGCGAGCTCTGCTGCGGCCCGCGTCTGTGCTGCTCTGCGTCGATCCGTGGTGCTCACGCCGGGTTCTGTGCCTGGCCTCCCTCGCCCTGCAGAGGCGCGCGCCGATGACGTGGCCATCATCGATGTGCGCGGGCGCTGCGCCTTCACAGACTACATGGTGCTAGCCACGGCGCGCAGCCAGCGGCTGGTGCGCATGCTGGCGGCGGCGGTGCTGCACCAGCTCAAGGCGCGGGCGCGGGAGGTGGCGCCCGGGGTGGCCCCCACCGTCGAGGGCGCACTGGTGAGAGGCCCGGGCGCAGGCTGCACTTCGCGCTGTGCCATCTCAAGCCCCGAAACCCGCCCCACGCTCCACACCTGCTCGAAGATGCCTGCCTGACCCCTGCGCCCTGGCACCCGGCACCTCCCTCCCCACAGGACGACTCGGAGTGGCTGGTGGTGGATGCCGGCAGCGTGGTGGCCCACGTGTTTCTGGAGGGCTACCGGGAGGAGTATGCTCTGGAGGAGCTGTGGGCGCCAGACGGCTCCAACATACAGCGGGTGGCGCCCAAGCAAACCGTGCACACGCTGGACAGCCTGCAATGACGGCGGCATGCGACTCTGCCCCAGCGGAGTCCTGCAACCCCTGTGGGCACAGCCTGCCAGGAGCTTGCACATTTGATTTTTAGATGCAGTCCCTTTGCGAGGCACGGATGCTTCATGAAATGAATGAAATGAAATCGGGATCGGGCCGGCAATGCACACGCACACGTCGCAGCGCGGCGGCCCTAGAAGCCCCTCATGTCGGCGCTGATCAGGGCCAGGTGTGCCTCCACCCGCTGCTCATCCACCTGGGCCGACAGCAGCCAGGCAACCACGTACACCTGCATCGTGCGCCGCAGCTTCTCCTCGCGCTGCGCCGCTGCCATGCCTGTGCCGCCAGGGCCTGTGCCGCTGACGCTCTGTTCTCGCTCCTCTGCTGCTCTCAAATCGCCTGCAGCCCCAAGGTGCGGCAGCATGAGAGGGCATGGGGTCCTCCTCTGGCAGCACTGCGGCACATCGGCTGCAAGCACTTGAGCTGCAAGTGCTCATGCCACAGTCAGTGACTACAGCTGTTGCAGGGGCAAACAGCATCCAGGGCGCACCTAGTATCTGCTCAAAGCCGCGCAGCACCGCCTCTTTCGCCACCAGCTCAGTGGCGTGCATGCTCCGCACCTGTTCCACCATAGACCCCAGCAGGTGCAGCGGCAACGTGGCAAACACCGCCCTCTCTGCCAGCAGAGGCGCCGCCGTCTCCACCTCCAGCAGCTGCTGCAGGCCCCCCTCTGCTTCTGCCAGTCGCTCTACGGCCGCCTGCAGCCGCTCCAAGCAAGCTGCCAGCTCCGATAGCGCCAATGCTTGCTGCTGCACCAGCTTGGCAGCTGCCGCCTCCCGCAGGTCTGGCACGTCTGCCAGAAGGTCCAAGGGCAGGGCAGGCAGATGCAACTGCGTCAGCACCGCATTGGTAAGTGCTGTGGCGTGCCGCTTGCTGTCGCCCACGGCAGCCTGCATGCCATGCAGGGCTATCCTCAGTGAATTATTCGCCGGCAAGTGCGCATGCCAGTCTATGCCATTTTTGGCAATCAATGTTTGCGCAAATTGCAACAAATGCTGCATACACCCACCTTCCAGTCGTCCAGCCCAGCGTTGATAGCATTCACGGCAAGCCGCACTGCTCGCTGCACAAGCAGGCATGGCTCAAGAAGGTGGTTATGCATGGGCGGTGGCAGAGTTGGCAGTGGCGGCAAGCGCCCAAGAGCCGCCACATCGGCACTGCTGTGGCTGTATTCCAATCATATTCTGGGCTGGCTGGCATCCTTGCCTGTGCCTCACGCCGCCTATTCCTCAAGTCCAGTGGTGTCGCCATCTGAGAGGCGATGGTTCAAGGCCAGGGCTGGTGAATCGCTTTGAAATTCGCTACCAAACGCCAATTGGGCCAATATTCACCGGTTCGGGCAGCAATTTTGGAAGTAGTGCCGTACGGCCTCCTCCCAGCGAATTGAAGCAATGCCCTGTTCCAGCCCCTCACAGCTTGAGCGGCTCCCGGCATCGGCATTCCAACAGCAGCCCAGCGCATGGTGGCCGGGACTGCACAGCTGCTTGCTCTGGGCAGGGTTGCCACTGGTGAGTGTTGTGTGTGATGGTGGGCGATTAACGAATGCCGGGCAATTGGTCGTGACGCCACCAGACCTCCGCCGCTGCTCCGCCATCCAACGCCGGCTTCGCAGGTCGCCGCCTGCCCCAAGGCATCACGAGAATGGCAGAGCAGGTGCATCAGCCGCTGCTGAAGAGGCAGCGGCTAGCAGCCATTGCGAGCGCCAGCGGGGGCAAGGCCGGCACGGCAGTCAGCGGGGAGCCGGCGCCGCAGACCGTGGCGGGTGCGCAGCAGCCGGAGCAGCTGCTTCAGGCCAGCCCCCCTCCCAAGCAGCAGGCCGGCGGTGCCAGTAGCAACAGCGGCGCTCCCAAGAAGCAGAAGCAGCTGGTCATGCCCACGCCCGTGCACCCGCCCACAGCACCGGCCGACCCCGCGGCCTGGGACAATGCTGTGCTGCTTGTGGACAAGCCAAAGGAGTGGACCTCGTTCGACGTGTGCGGCAAGCTGCGCCCCGCACTGGCGGCGCTGCTGGGCAAGAAGAACCGGGAGGTGAAGGTCGGGCATGCAGGTGGGTGGCTGGGCTTGCCAGGGGCGTGGCACAGGCCTCGGCAGAGTTGCCCTGCTGGCACTAGCGCTGTTCCCGCTCCCCTCTCCGCTGCTCGACGCCATCCCCTCCCACCCCTCCAGCTTGTGCCCTGCTTTGCTGTGCTGTGCTGTGCTGTGCAGGCACGCTGGACCCCATGGCCACCGGCCTGCTCATCGTGTGCGTGGGGCGGGGCACCAAGGCGGTGGATGCGTTCATGGCCATGCACAAGTGCTACAGCGGGACGCTGCGGCTGGGGGAGGGCACGCCCTCGTATGACGCAGACACGCCTGTGGAGCAGCGAGCGCCGTGGGAGCACATCACGGGTGGGGCTGGAGGGGGGTGACGGGTGGTGGAGTGGCGTCGCCTGATTCCATGGTGGGGGACAGGGGACAGGGCCTGAGAGCCCCCTGGCCGCGGCTGCGCGGCCGAGATGCAGCCCTCGCTGCTGCGCTGCTGCTCCTGCAGACGACGACTTGCTGCGGGCGCGGGATGGGCTGGTCGGCGAGATCCAGCAGCTGCCGCCGATGTACTCAGCCATCAAGGTGCGGCCTTGGGCAAACAGACCGCAGTGGGTGGGCTTGTCTCAAGTGGGGCAAGGCCTGGATTGCAGCTTTGTTGAGGTTTGGTATTGGGCTTGGATAAGCATAGGGCTGGTTCCCACCCCTGTTGCTCTGCCACAGCTCCGCCACACCGCTGCCGCACCATGTGGTGCTCCGCATGGTGCAGATTGGTGGCCAGAAGCTGTGTGATGTGGCGCGCAAGGGCAAGGAGCTGGAGCGCCAGCCGCGAACCGTCACAGGTGGGAGTGTGGGCGTAAGCCTGGGTGGCTGGGTGCTTTGTGGGGACGCATTCTGGGGGGACTAAATGGGTGGTTGAGTCCACCTGCCACCTGCCACCATCCCAATCCCTGCTCCACCCTTGCCCTGCAGTCGAGAGCTTTGACCTGTGGCGGGACGCGGGCGAGGCGCAGTGCGTGCACTTCCGCGTGGTGTGCAGCAAGGGCACCTACATACGCTCGCTGGCGCACGACCTGGGCGCCGCACTGGGCTCTGCCGCGCACCTGACGGCGCTGCGGCGGGAGGCCATCGGGCAGTACAGCGTGGAGGGGGCCTGGGATGTGCGGCAGCTGGCGCAGCAGCTGTACGAGCAGCGCAAGCAGCAGCAGCAGCGGCAGCAGCAGGAGGGAGGGCAGCCACAGGAGGGAGGGCAGGCAGCGCAGCAGCAGCCGAAGGGTTCAGCAGCGGCGGAGGTCGAGGAGCATCGCCCGAGCTGATGCTCTGCCGAAACCGCCAGGCTGTGTTCTTGAATGCATGCCATTGTCACTGGAGTTGACTGTTACTGCTGCAATGTGCCCAAAGGGACACAAGATGCTGGCACCCGTGGGACTGCTGCGGGCATCTTGCACGGCAGGTGCTACAAGCCGGTAACAGCAGGAACGCAACAACAAAATGGGAGTGAACATTGCAAACGATGGCTGACAGCAAAAAAGGAAACCAAGCAAGAGTGCCATGCATTGATGGTGTGCACAAGTGAGGCTGGCACCTGTGAATGGGCCACCAGCCCCAACTGATGCAGCTCCAGGACCCGTCAGTTGTTGGATGCATCCTGGGGCGGCACGGTCTGGGGCACATACGGCCTGCAGCACCACAGGAAGGTTGCAGCAGCGGTGAGAGCAAGGTGCTGCTGGAGCCCAGGCGAACTGCCTCCGCGCGTGCCTGCACCCGCACCCCTCTGCCCATGCCCACTTCACCCGCCCCCTCCTCACCTCTGCGCCTCCCAGGCCACCTGCGCCATCATGGTGAGCGCGGAGCGCGCCTCCCGCTCATCCTCCACCGGCCGCACAAAGGGCACGCGCAGGTCCTGGGCAGCGCTGCCGTCCTGCCGCGCGGCGCGCATGTGCACCCCCAGCCGGTCCACCCACACCATCTCCGCCCACGCCATGTCCTCAAACGCCACTCCCAGCGCGTGGCAGCTGCAGGGAAAGGAGGCGCACGGGCGGGTCGAGCTGAGGGGGCGCATCAGGTGGATGGCAGACAAGCAGAGGCCCGCACAGCACCATGCCGCTGCCTGGGACATACGCGCTTCAAAACACTCCCAGGGCCTGCATGCATGGGCCTGCTGGGCCCGCGGCCCACCCGCCCGCCAGCCGCACCTGATGCGCACAATGTCTTCGGGCCTGTCGGCGTTCATGTTGCGCACCAGGGCGGCGGCGCGGGTGCGCAGCGGGTCGGCCTCCGCGCCGCGGTACTCGCCGCCCGGCAGCACCTCGGCCGAGGAGCTGCCGCTGAGCTGGCCCACATAGAAGCAGCGGTCGACGGCGAGGCGGACGTAGAGGTCGGTGGGCTGCGGGGCGTCCACGCCCATGCCCCCGGCGTGCAGCCTGTTGTGCAGGTCGGCGGCCTCCTCTGCCAGCTCTGCGCAACGCGGCGGGCGTGGGGGGCGAGGCCAAGGGGCGGTCAGGAGTTGGCAGAGGCCCGGGGCGGTAGGGGAGAGGCGTGGGCCTCCGGCTGGTGGCGCCGCGCACTGCAAGCTGCTGGTTCCCCGCAGGACTGGCAGGCAGGTCTGATTCACCCAGTTTTCACATCAGCATGCAGCTCTGCTGCGCTGCGAACAAACCGCAGCACGGCCGAAGGCTTCCCCCCTGCACCAGCACACCTGCGCTGACGGGCTCCACGCTGCCGATGAGGGTGACGCGGGCCAGCAGGCGCGCGGGGTGCTCCCCCGGCTGCACAAACAGGCTGCACTTGGGGTCGCGCTTGAGGTTGGCGGTGTGCACGGCGTCGGCGCGCAGCCTCAGGATGGGCTGCCCCGCGTCGTCCAGCACGTAGGACACATAGGTGCCCAGGGGGATGCCGTCCTCGCTGATGGTGCACAGCGTGCCGTGCGCCACCAGGTCGACGATGGTGCGCGCCGTCTCCGCGTCAGTGGGCATGGCGCCTGCTGCGGGGCCCGCGCCGTTGCTGCTGCTGCTGCCGTTGGCGGTGGCAACCGGCGCCGCCACCGCCAGGACGAGCTGCTGGTTCCGCCGCCTGGCGCCCGTGGCGCGTGCATTGCGCTGCAGTTGGCACGGGGCCGCTGCCTGGGGCGCCTGCTGCCGGGAGGGGGCCACGGCGCATGGCCGGGCGCTGGGCGGCGAGCACAGCGAGGCTGCCATGCTGCGAAAAGGAGATGGGTTGAACTGTAGAAACCGAGGGTGCCGTTGGGAGGGGCGGCAGGGGAGGGAGATATCAGGATAAAACGAAGGGCAGCAGTCCCAGCACGGAGCGAGGAGACTAGGGCTGGGCAGTAACGATGAACCGGTAATGCTAAAGTAAAGTAAATTTACGATTTAATGGTTCACTGCTGTCCTGGGCCACATTTACCACGACAGTAAAGAGTGGGAAAGGTTCAGGAAAGGTTTACAGCGGGCGGCGGCAGATTTGTTAAAACCTGCTTTTGAATGGTCAATTGTGTCATAACCGTAGAACTGGGAGTTGTATGAAGACCATACACGCCCTCCCAGGCCAACTCCAGTCCGGCTGGGGGAGTTGGACATGCATGGCGGCTACGTCGCCGCCATCAACGGTGACATCTCGAAGCAGGGATGGCTGGCCATGTGGTCATGGCGCCCTTCACAGCAATTTCATCTTATTTCTCCATGTTGTAAGATAAATTTACCCTGTTCTGGGCTATGTTACCCTCCAAAATGGGGCATTATTGCCAGCAGGTGCTATTCAGTAACGCTTTATATAAGCTTTACAGCTTCGAGTGGGTTCACAGGCGCACATAGTGAATTACAGACAGGCAGTAAAGGCTTTATCTTCACTAAAGCTTTAGATGACCTTCACAGGTGGCGCCAACTGGCTTTACACCCCAGCCCTAGAGGAGACACCATCAAACCGTTTGCGTTTCGAAGCGGAGGCTTGCGTCCAGGACTCAATTGCCATGATGCGCAAGGCCCAGGCGCAACTGTGACGCACACCCTGCAAGTCACACGGCGACCTTAGCCCAGGTGCCTTCGCTGCTTTGACACACAGTGGAGAGGACCAATGCGGATCTCATGCACCACGACAGGCAAGTAAAGATCACCAGCCCATCAGGTGGTTCAGTCGCTGCAGCGGGCGGTCCGCTCCCTGCCGGCTGCCGGGGGGCAGAGCCCGCCGTCGACACACACAAACTCGCAGCAGCCTGTCAGTATTGGCAGCCACACATATTGCTTTTTGAATGATGCAAAAGGAAATCGAATGGGGATCCACATTTTGACTGATTTTGAGGCGGAACGGCGGCGGCGGTGGCGGGACGGCTGGCCAACCTGGTGGGACGGCCCAAATTGGCCAGCCTCAAAGCCTTGAGCATCCAACGCCACATCCACTGATCCTCAGGGCTGTGGGCCTCAACCAGCGGCCCGGTTTCCAGTAGGCTACTGCTCCTACAAAGGCCTGCCCGGGCGCTCGCAGGCCTCTCGACACGTCGTTTGCATGTGCTGAGCACCAGCAGTTCATAGCGCGAGTCCTGCCCTCGCTTGACACAGCGGGTGGGATCGCCTTAGAATCGCGCCACGGCAACTGTGCTGCTGCAGACCTGGCCGTGGCGGCCTGCATCATACAGGAGCTGACCGCCTTCCGCCGCTGTTGCTGCACCCGCCCGCTCCGGCAGTGGCGGCCGCCATGCCGCCGGTTGTGCGCCAGAGCCCCCTTCTGTCCGAGCCCTGCCTGATGCTGGCAGTCTACACGCTGGTCAGCGGGGCCGGCGTGTACTCGCAGCTGACCGCCAGCAAGGAGGGCCAGGAGGCGGCGGGAGAGGCAGCCAAGATGCTGCACCTGGCGACGAGGTGCGTGGCTGACTTTGCGCGTTCTCGCGAGGCATGGGCCTGCCGCACCACACTGAACGCCCCTGTTGTCCCTCCTTGTCCAGCGGCTATGATGTAGACACAGCGTCAGCCAAGCGGCTGGCCTTTGCGACGCTGGAGATGGTGCTGCAGACGCAGCTGGGCGTCTTCTTTGCGGCAAACCTGGCGGCGGGAGTCTACGCCGGCTTCACCCTGGTCACCAAGACCCTGTTTCTGGGACAGCTGACCGCGTCCGAGACCTCGCAGCTGGCCGAGGCACGCGGCAGGGGGTGGGAGGTCTGGCCTGCACTCCGCTCGGGGATCGTTGAGTCTGAGGATGGCCACCAGAAGTGTCTTCAACTCCTGCTCGCGTGTGCATCTGCTGCTGCTGCTGCTGCAGAGGTTCCTCAAGTTTGCCATGCTCAAGGTGGCGTTCCTGGCGGTGGTGCGCAGCCCTGGGTATGGGGGCGTGATGCAGGCAAGTGTGGGAACCGGGCCTGCCTGTTGCTTGCCAGGGGCCCTGCCTCTGTTGCCTGCTAAGAACTCGGCTGCTGTACACACGAGTCGTGGTCGCTCATTCCTGTCGCCCCTGCCGCTGCAGTGGCTGGCCTGGTGCGCCGTCATCTGCTGGTTCTCAATGTTCACCAAGCTGGCCAGCCTGCGCGGTGACGCCCTCCTGTCCTCGCCGTCCGCCACCCTGGCGCAGCACCTTCGCATCCTGTTGCTGCTGGGCGGCATCCTGGCGCAAGACCTCAGCTGGGTGGCTGGCTTCCTGCGCACCGCACGAGGCATGCAGGGGGGCTCGCTAAGGTGGGTAGCCATTGCACGCCCCCTGTGCTGCGTACCGCTGATTTGTGACCGGTTGTTTGTGTGCGGCAGCTGGTCTGCATTCCACCGGTCTGCTGTGCTCCCTGCTCCCTGCAGCCATGCGCTGCTGTGGCTGTTTGATGCCACGTTTGTGGCGGTGGATGCGGCATATGCTCTGCTGAAGTATGCGGTGCAAGCCTGGGACCACTGCAAGGTGATGCGGGCGGAGGTGCGCGGCGAGGTGAGCTTTTGGTTTGCATGGGGTTCGGACCCTACCTGCGCGGCGGTGCAAGATGTGAGCAATGCTGCTCAGTTGCTCGACCTTGTGGAGCCGCCCTGAAACACCGCATGCTGCCTGCCTGGTGCCGCACAGGAGCGGGAGCCGTGGGAGGGCCGCACCGAGCTGGTGTACTGGCTGAACCTTGCGGCCGACCTCACGCTGCTCGGGCTGAGCCTCTTCCACTACCTGCACCTCTGGTGGGCAGCGAGGCTGCATGGTGGCAGGCTGCATGTAGGCCAACAGAGAGCCAGCAGAGGTGGACCCTGGCTGCCGCCGGTTGAGTGAGTGTGTCCACCTCCTTGCAGGTGGCTGCACGGTTTGCAGCTGCAGCTGATAGACGGGGTGCTGTTCCTGGATGTGAGGCTGCTGGTGGGCGTCATTCGGTGCCGCGTGCGCCGCCACCTGAGCTACCGCCGCCTGCAGCACCAGCTGCGGCACAGCTTTGCGGATGCCACGGTACTGCAGCTGGCAGAGCACCGCTGCTGCATCTGTTTGGACTCAATGAAGGTGGGTGAGCGGGCGTGCAGCGCCCCTCCTTCTGCAAGCAGCCTCCCCTTGCGACGCAATTACCTGCCATTTTATGCTGGCCAACAGTCCAGTGCTTTGCTGAGTTGTTTTTGGCCTCCACCCCTTCCTCCACATCCAGGCGGGCAAGCTGCTGCCATGCGGCCACGTCATGCACGTGTCCTGCCTGTGCGCCTGGCTCCAGCAGAATGCCACCGGCTCGTGCCCGCTGTGCCGGGCCAGCCTGGACATCCATCACCCCCAACCCAAGCCTCGGCAGCCCTCCGGCATCGAGCGGCAGCAGCCACAGGGCATTGCCCCAGCCAGGGAGTCACCTCACCGCGACACAGCCCCATCTCCCACCAGCAGCAACAGCGGTGCTCTCACGCGCCCCTTCACTCGCTTGCAAGCCCGTCTGGCAGCAACAGCTCAATCTGCTGCCAGCGGCGGCGGTCGACTCGCAACCCACTCTGTCAGACACCGCCGCAGGATTGACGGCTTGCTGGATTGAGCACTCTCTGCATCACATCACACTACAACCGACTGCCTGCAGCTGCCACTCGTGTGGAGCCCTGGCATCTGCTACATCTCGCCCTGTAGATGCCAATGGCATGCGCCCGTCTACGCTGCCTCCTACCAGCAGCGTTTGTTCACTTAACTCCTGGCCCTCTGAAGCCTGGGACCTGTATTGCACTGACACCTGCACCCTTTGATTCGCGATGGCTTGGAAGCCTGCACGCGTCATTCCATGAATCATCGATCGGCGCTCCAGCCTTTCTGTCCCATTTTCCCTTTCATTCTTGGCTGCGTGCCTCCAAGTTTTCCCTTGCCAATCTACTCGGCAACGCGCGCCGTCTGTGTCCTTATCTGCTTGACCTGAACACCATCTGCCACAGGCCTGCCTCAGCATCGTGTGAACACGCAAAAGCAGCTGCAAGTGGCACTCCGGAGGCATGCAAGTAACTCAGGCGGCGCTGGGCAGTATGTGCTTGGCGTGGAAGGAGAGGTGGTCGTCCATGAAGGTGGCAATGGTGAAGTAGCTGCAGAAGAGGGGGAGGCACAGTGGGCATGTGCAATTGGTGGGAATTTGAGGGCAGGAGAGCCGAGGGCTGGATTGCACGCGTGGCCGCAGCAGCGCGGCAAGCCAGGAGGCGGGCGGCGCTCACCTGTGGTCGTACCCCTCATTCATGCGGCTCTCCACCTGCAGCTTCCCGCGCGCCGCCTCCTCAAACGCCCAGGGGTGCAGCTGCACGGGGTTGTGCACAGAGCCAGCCAGGAATGAGGCCAGCAGGCTCCAGCAGCAGCCAGCTGGCTGGTGTGCTGCGTCTGCAGCCCCAGGGGCCCAGCCCCAGGGGTCCCCTTCCAAACTGGCCCCACCTGCGTCTTCAGGAACTCGTCGTCGGTGCCGGTGTCCATCAGCACAGGTAGGGAGGGCCCGCTGTACTGGCGCGCCAGCTCGGTGGCGTCGTACTGCTGTGCCACCTCCTGCCACTGCTCCCCCAGGTACCCCGCAAATGCCTTTTGCCCCCACGGCACTTGCGTGGGGTTGCAGATGGGCGCAAAGGCGGAGACCGACTTGTAGGCGGTGGGGTTCTTCAGCGCAATGGTGAGGGCGCCGTGCCCGCCCATCGAGTGGCCCATGATGCCAGCCTGGCACAGAGCGGCAGGGCGAGGCAGCAGCGCAAGCATGCGGACGGTTGGGCTGGTGGCGGCTGAGCCACATGCGGCGCCCAGGCATGCATGGCAGCGTGCGGGCCCTCAGCCCCCGCTCACATTGTCGACGTCCAGCTCCGGCATGCTGCGCAGCAGGGCGGGCAGCTCCTGCGTGATGTAGCTGTACATGCGGTACTGCCTCCACTTGTCGGCAGTGGCATCCAGGTAGAAGCCAGCGCCAGTGCCAAAGTCCCAGCTGCAGGCATGGCGCAATGCGGGTGGGGCAACACAGCAAGAGTGGGTACAAGGGTGGCGCTTCCAGCAGCCATGTGCTTGGTCGCCATGCAGTGCTATGCCCCGGGCGCCGCACCTCTCGTCCTCCCCCTCGATGCCAAGGCCGCGCGGCGAGGTGTCGGGCGCCACAACCGCCAGCCCCAGCTCCGCCGCCTTACGCTGCGCCCCCGCCTTTTGCACAAAGTTTTCGTCGGTGCAGGTCAGGCCGCTGAGGTAGTACACCACCTGCAGCAGCGGCAAGAGGGGTGGGTGGCAGCAGCGGCAGGGAGTGACATTCTGGCGCCGCTGAGCGGCCGTCCCCACCCGCCGTGCCGTGGAGGTACGGTGCCACGCGGCGCGCCACCACGTACCGGAGCCTTCGTGACGGCAGGAGGGAAGAAGACCGTAAACACCATTTTGCAGCCCAGTTCGCGGCTCTGGTGGGCGTAGCGCCGCACAAACCCGCCAAACATCTGCATGGGCATGGTGCCATAGGTGATCGGACCCAGATCCAATTGCGATCGCCACGAGACAGGCAGCAGGCAGAGCGACATGCCTTGTTGGTCTTCAACAGTTCTGCCATCTTGAGACTTCCACAGTTGCACTGATGCAACCACCCCAAAGCGGAAACAAGGACTGGACTGGTCAGATGGACAACCCGCTGATCGTCCTGTGCAGTCCAGTCACGCCCCGTTGGCAGGCCGCACCTTCAAAAACCCACTCGGCCTTGCGACGTCTCAGACCCCCTTGCATTCCCTGAGAGCGTCGGGAGTCCCATTGCAGCAGCTGGAAGCCTGGCACGATGGCGGTGGACTTTCCGGGCGATCGCCGTGCGTACTGGGGGCTTGCTGTGGTGCTGCACAGCTGCGCGCCGCTCACCGATCGCTGCCTTGTTGTCGTGCAGAGGCGCTGGAGGACTTCCTGCTCAACTATTTGGAAGTGAGCCCGGATGAGGGTAGCGGGAAGGCCGTGACCAGGCCCAAGTACATGGAGATGCTGGTGGGTGGGCGACGCCATGGCCCGCGATGGCTGCCGCCGGGCGGCCAGTTCAAACGTGCGCCGCGCCAGCCCACCCGCCTCCCTGCTCCCTGCGCGCTTGCCTGCCTGCAGCAAGACATTGCCAATCGGCAGCGCAGCACCCTGGATGTGGATCTGGACGACCTGGATGGGTTCAGCAAGGACCCGGAGCTGGTGGAGCACGTGGAGGGCAACACGCAGCAGTACCTGCGCCTGCTGGCCGAGGCGGCTGACAACATCATGCCTGCCCCCACAGATGACAACCTGCCAGAGGACGTGTTTGATGTGCTGCTGGACCAGGTGGGCGGCGGCGTGTGCCAAGCACGGGGCTAACGAGCGGTGTGGGGCACCGTGCACGAGGTGGAACAGACATGTGCCGCTGCTGCCAGCTGCGGCCTGCTGCGGTTTGATCAGCGCTGCCTCCCTCTCCCTGCAGCGGCGGCGGGCTCAGGAGATGACGCGGGCGCAGATGGAGGTGGAGGGGCGGGGGGAGCAGCAGGACCCCAACTTTGCGCTGCCGCCCAGCCTGCTGCGCCGCTACGAGGTGCTGGTGCGTCCGCGCAGCAAGATGGCGCGCCGCACGATGCGCGACATCTCCGCAGACTGCATCGGCTCGCTGTGCACCTTCCGGGGCATCGTCACGCAGGTGCGTGTGTGGGTGCGTGTGTGCATGTGTGTGTGGGGTCTGGCTGCGGCGGGCAGTTCATTACGGTGCCGGCGGCATGCGGAACTGGCTGTCGCCTGCCCAAGCAGCGCCACACGGCAAGCAGCATGGGCAGCGCGCACTGCTCTTGTGCGATGGTGCAGCGGCTGCTGCTGGAGCAAGTGGGCATGCGGGGCAGTATGCACCCATCAAAGCGGCGGCCATCGCCGTCCGGCTGCCTATGCCCCACACCTCGAGCTTCCTGCCCCCTGCCCGGCCGCAAGCAGGTGTCTGATGTGCGGCCGCTTCTGACTGTGGCCACATACCTGGACGACCAGACCGGGTTTGAGATCTACCAGGAGGTGGGTGGTGTGTGTGCACAAGCACTTCCGCTTGAGAGGCGAGCGCTTGGCTCTGATGGATACAATCAGGGTTGACCTCAGCAAGGGCAGCACGGCATGCGGGGTGCCCATATGCTAGAGCCAGGCTGGGTGGCTGCCAAGCCCGCAGCATGCCGCCTGACGTTCTGTTGCACACACCAAAATGACCCACCTCGCTCCCACCGCGCCGCCTGCCTGGTGCGCAGGTCAGCGGCAAGAGCTTCAACCCGCTCCAGGAGGCGCCCGACGAGGTGAAGAAGATGAATGGCGGCAAGAGTGAGCTGTTCATGCAGGTGCGCGGCTCCAAGTTTGTCAAGTACCAGGAGTGCAAGATACAGGAGTCGCCCGACGAGGTAAGTGTGCGATTGTGTGTGGGGTGTGGGGTGGTGGTGGTGGTGGTGGTGGTGGTGGGGATGTGGTGGGTGTTTGTCTGTGGGGGCCTGAGGGAGCAGGGCGCGGTACAGGGTGGATAGCGACACGAATGCTACCCTCCCGGCAATGCGCGTGCACCACTCCACCACCGCCGTGCCTGGCCCGCTGCCCGCAGGTCCCCCAGGGCTCCACGCCGCGCACGCTCATGGTGCACCTGCGCGGCAGCCTGACGCGCAGTCTCAAGGCGGGCGGCAGCGTCACGCTGTCGGGCATCTTCCTGCCGGAGCCGTACACGGGGCAGCGCGCCATGCTGCGCGCCTCGCTGCTGACCTCGACCTACATGGAGGTCATGGCTGGAAGCAGAACAAGCAGAGCTACCAG